AACGGCTTGGGCAAGGGGTCGGACAAGGGGTCGGGCAAGGGGTCGGGCAAGGGGTCGAGAGAGGGTTCTCGAGAGGGGGTCGGGTAAGGGGACGAGAGAAAGGTTGGAAAAGAGGTCGAAAACGAGGTCAAGAGAGGAGTCACTCCCCCGCCTTTGGTTTCTGGCCGCCTCGTCATCTGTGAGTGCAATTGCCATTGGGCTGTGAATTTATTTGAGGCGTAAGCGTGTGGGTGTGTGTGTGATCTTGTGTGTGAATGGATGTATACCGTTCACGCGCACGTGATTGTGGTGGGGATGTGTGTGATCGTGTAACTGTGAGTACGCACACCTGTGCACGTGTGTTCGCGTGTGTGTGCGTGTATTTGTTGTGCGTGTGTGAATGTGTACCTGTTGTCACGCACCCGTGCGCATGTGTTGCACGTGTGTGCACGTGCTTGTTCGCTGCGATTGCTGCTTTCGCCGCTGCTGCTGCCGCCGCTGCTTCTGCCGCCGCTGCTGCTGGCTGCGGATGCTGCTGGTGATGCTGCTGGTGCTGCTGCTGCGGCTGCGGATGCTGCTGGTGCTGCTGCTGCGGCTGCTGTGGATGCTGCTGGTGCTGCTGCTGCTGCCGCTGCTGCTACCGCCGCTGCTGCTGCCGCCGCTGCTGCTGCCGCCGATGCTGCTGCTGCCGATGCTGCTGCCGATGCTGCTGCTGCGGATGCTGCTGGTGCTGCTGCGGCTGCTGCACACAGGTGCTGGACTTTGTGCACCAGACCCGCGTGGCCGACATCCTCAACGAGCGCATGGTGAAGGCCGAGAAGCGGCAAAGCCGCGACGGGGCCCCTCCCCCTCCCTCCGATGTCATGAAGTACGAGAGCAGCTCCGAGGAGGTGCGCCACGCGGGGCGGGAGGGGGCACTGGTCACGTGAGCTGAGGGAGAGGACACGGGTCATGCAGGGAGGGTACCTTTGGCATGGTGGATGGGGGAGGGACAGGGACTCCGCAGGTGTTATGTGGGATCATGGATTTTTTTGGAACACAGGTGCCATGCGAACGGAGGAGGGATGCACGGGTCATGTTGGGGGGGGGGGGTCACACAGGAGGACTGCTGCGATGGTGTTGGTGGAGTCACATTCTCTGTCTCTCCCCTCTCTTGTCTCCCTCTTCCCTCTCCCTTCCCAGGACTGAACCGTGGGGACACGCCGAGCTGACCGCCTTGTCGCAAAGGAACTTAGGATTCCTATAATTACTGTATAATGATAATTTGCTATAATGAATCAATGTTGTTTGTCTTATTTATGAAACACGTATGTATTGTCCAAAATGTGATGCACACGCACGCACACACGCGGTATCTACTTGGTGAATGTCGCTGTGACTGCCCGCGTCGCTGCTGTTTTGGTAGAGCTAGTGCTAGCGCTGTAGAGGTGGTGGTGAGTACTGAGTACCTGTGAGTACCTGTGTACCCGAGCTTGAGCTGTGATGCCGTCGCTGTGGGGTGGGTGACCGAGGCCCCGGGCTCCCATCCACGACCCTGGGGCGGCACGTGAGGAGTGCCTGCTGCCCTTTCCCCTTTTTTGCCCTTTGGCAATGACTGTGCCCACTGCCCCCTTTCCACTGCCTCGTGTGCCATGCTCCCAGTCCACTTTTGCCCCCAGTCCACTTTTGCTCCATTCCTCCCATCCACCGCCCTTTGTTATATTCTTAATATTGGCTGTCGTGCCGTGTATCCGTTGACCCTTGCCCTGTCTCCCCTGCCCACTTGCCCGAGACGTGGGCTGCCGCACTGTCCCCGATCCCCTCCCCCCAAAGCGGTGATCACATGGCCGGGACCCACATCCCCCTTCCCAGTTCCCCGGTCTCCGAGCCAGCCTCCCATCCTTTCGTCTGCCCGAGCCAAGACCCCCCTCCCACCAAACCCCCCTTCGCCATGCGGGCCAGTGCACCCTCCGCCGGCCATCATAAAACGGCTCCTGCTGTACCGGCTCGATGCCATCGTGACACGCAGAAGTGAGACTTGGGCCGCCCTCTGGCCCGAACTTAACCCTTTAGCCAATCTCCCAGACTGAGCCCCTGTGCCTCCCTGTGGAAGCCCTACGCCTGTATCGGGTCCCGTGGCCACGGACCGCTCCGTGCGTGCCGCATGGGGGCCGCGCGCTCTCCCCGTGAATAAAGAACCGAGCTGAGATTGCGTCCTGCGTACACTGAGTTGCGTGAGCAGAGGTCATGGGGGAGTCGTGGGGTCATGGGGGAATTGTGGGGTCACGTGGCACTTGGGGTCATGAGGGTCGTGGGTTCACGAGGGATGGGTCATTTGGGATGTCAGAACCTCTAAATAAAATTACAGCAAAAACAACCACATTACAGAACTATAAAAACAGGCCGCTCAGATATTGAGAAAATGTTTCCAATTTGTACTTCGAGGTGTGAATAGAATCAGTGGAAGTGGAACCTTGGACTCATTCTTCCAGTTTTAAACCTAAATGCAGAGTTCTTCACTGCTGCCTTGTACCTCTGGGAGCTTCTATATGCAGTGGCTTTACACTGGAGACCCCCATAGCTTGTGAACATGTACTGATGAGTCGAGGGCTGCAGGTGTCTGTTCGGACAGCCACATTTATTAACTTGGAATTGGTGGCCTAAACCAGTGGTTCTGAACCGTTTTTGGCTACTGTAGCTCCAAATCAAGGTTCTGAGAAAGTAATGTATGAATAATGAACATCAATATTTAAACCAATTGCCCATTTTGTGAGGTATCTTCGTAACTGCAAGCAAATAAAAAAATCCAATGGACGCGTTACATGTTATTGTTTATGATCAATGAGTTTAGAAAGGTCTTTCATATCGTTCTCGGTTACCATATGGATTGTAGATATTTTATATTGGCAGATTCATACATGATTATTCACTAATGACTCATGTATAATATATTTTCACACATTTATAAATCACCTCATGTACCCCCTGGGACATTGCCACGTGATGGGACGTTGTAAGATGAACATTGCGATTTATAAGGGCATAGGGTGACCAATAAAATCTGAATTAGTATGTAATAAGTCAGGCACTGATAAGGGGTTGACTGGTATGTGAATGTAGAGTGGCTACATCATTGTATCCAGGAGGGAGTCGATGGCGTTACAGCAAATGTTAAGATTTTTCTGTGCCATGGGGCCTGTAATAAGTGTAATATAACGTGCTACAATAGGGTACGAAATTATATAGCGAAGCTTTTTACTGGTAGGAACCTCCTGGTTACACCAGCCCACAGGGGATTATTGTGTCCGTGCAGGGAGGGGCTGGGTGGGGAGGGGCTGGGTGGGGAGGGTGGGGTGGGGAGGGTGGGGCCGGGTGGGGAGGGGCTGGGTGGGGAAGGGCTGGGTGGGGAGGGTGGGGCTGTCTAGATGGGAAGGGGCTGGGTGGGGAAGGGCTGGGTGGGGAGGGGCTGGGTGGGGAGGGGCTGGGTGGGGAGGGGCTGGTCACCCCGTGGTGCCCTCATAAAACTCAACGTTTAACCTACTCACGCCGGCTTGTGCCCGCCCTAACAGTCGGCCATATTTGCGGAATACACCACGCCGCCGTTGACCCTGGCCATTGACCGAGCAACCCAACGTTCCTACCAGCTCCCTCCGTCCCTCCGCAGGAATGTGTTCAGCGTGAACGTAAAGACGACGGGCGTGCTCACGAGGGCTTTACCGTGAATTTGAGTCGCCACAACGGGGTGTTTTGGATGATGCAATCAACGGCAAATGTTTGATTAACTTGATGAGGATGAGGGGGTCATTATCATACCTGTCAACCCATACGGTTTACCCCGTATTCTTGTACGGGGAGATTGAGTTTTCAGGTCCATATGACGTACATCTGTTTCAATACGGACAACACAAAAATGTGTTGTCTATTTGTTTTGTGTTTCTCCCTTGTGATGGTACTTTGTAGTATGAACGTTGAGATTTGTAAGGGCACGGGTTGATCAACACGGTCTGAATTGATCTGTAATAAGGTAGGGCAACTGATCAGGGGTTGACAGGTTTGCATTATGTAACTGTGAGATGTACGGGGACAGGTTCACGTGCTGGGTTGGTGATTGTGACGTCACCTGGAGCGTGTGGGGGGGGGGGGCGTTGGGAGGGGGCTCCGGCAGCCCCCCCCATGTGGCTCAGGTTTTCCGCGGGGTTCTAAAAGGTAACATCTGCCTAGTTTGTGGATTTGTATTCGGAACACAGAGACTTTCATTTCTATATATAGTAATTGAAGATATAGAAAATAAACATAAGATTCTAGATTTTAAGTTTTCGTGACTGCAAGGATCCATACTCTTTGGTTCTTTCGGTAAAGTCACGTAGGTAGAAAATAAAAAAATATTAATAACTAAAAAACATAAGATAGCACAGGGTGACGTAATCCATGTCATTGCATCACTGACGTCACCGCGAGCGTTTTGTCACCGTGCGAGTGACGTCGCCACGGCCGGCCGATCAACCACGAGTGACGCCATCGCAACAGTTGTCGCCAGCAACGTGACATCATCGCGAGGCAACGTCAATGCGTGGACGTCACACGACGACGACGCTGCGGCTTCATCGCGAGAACGACATCGTCGTCGTGACAATGACGTCAGAACTTCCTGTCGGTCGCGCTTCACGTGGTCCCCACGTGCTCGCGTGACGTCATCCCGTGCCTCGCGTGACGTCGCCGCGTGCTCGCGTGACGTCACCACGTGCCTTGCGTGACGTCAACGCGTGCCTCGCGTGACGTCATCCCGTGCCTCGCGTGACGTCGCCACGTGCCTCGCGTGACGTCGCCGCGTGCCTCGCGTGACGTCGCCGCGTGCCTCGCGTGACGTCGCCACGTGTCTCGCGTGACGTCATTTCGTGCCTCGCGTGACGTCGCCACGTGCCTCGCGTGACGTCACCACGTGCCTCGCGTGACGTCATCCCGTGCTCGCGTGACGTCACCACGTGCCTCGCGTGACGTCACCACGTGCCTCGCGTGACGTCACCACGTGCCTCGCGTGACGTCACCACGTGCTCGCGTGACGTCACCACGTGCTCGCGTGACGTCGTCCCGTGTTGTGATCTCGCGGCTCCCCCAGGAAGATGGCGGCGCGTAGCGGCGAGGCCGAGGAGGAGGCGGCGGCGGCGGCGGCGGCCGAGAGCGCCGAGGAGGCGCGCGGGCTCGGCCCGGTCTCTGCGCGGGACCTGGCCCAGGTGACGACGCCTTATCCCGCGACCTTGGGGGGGGGGGGTGAGGGGGGGCGATGGGAGCCCCGCGCTCGCGAAGGCTTCGGGCTTAGCGGGGAAGGGACGGCGCCCGAGGGCCCCGACCGGGGGAAGAGGAGTTGAGTTGCGTGGCAAGGGCTGGGGAGAAGGAGGGAGAGGGCACGGCGGGGAGAGATTGTCGGTGTTGTGGCGGGAGAGAGGAGGCGGGAGAGATGGGTCTTGTGGATTGATACGTGTGGTGGGAGGAGGGCAGCGGCCTCGGTGCGGAGCCCAACTGTAGCCCAACCGAAATCGACACCAAACTGACGCGGCCCAGAGGAGAATACTGGGACAGCATCAATACACACACACACAGCATCAATACACACACACACAGCATCAATACAGTCACACAGCATCAATACACACACACACAGCATCAATACACACAGCATCAATACACACACACACAGCATCAATACACACACAGCATCAATACACACACACAGCATCAATACAGTCACACAGCATCAATACACACACACACAGCATCAATACACACACACAGCATCAATACACACACACACAGCATCAATACAGTCACACAGCATCAATACACACACACACAGCATCAATACACACAGCATCAATACACACACACACAGCATCAATACACACACACAGCATCAATACACACACACACAGCATCAATACAGTCACACAGCATCAATACATACACACACAGCATCAATACACACAGCATCAATACACACACAGCATCAATACACACACAGAACCAATACACAGCATCAATACAGTCACACACACAGAACCAATACACACACAGCATCAATACACACACATACACACACAGCATCATTACAGTCACACAGCATCAATACAGTCACACACACAGCATCAATACAGTCACACACACATCATCAATACAGTCACTCACACAGCATTAATACACACACACAGCATCAATACACGCAGCATCAACACAGTCACACACGACATCAATACAGTCACACACACAGCATCAATACAGTCACACACAGCATCAACACAGTCACACACACAGCATCAATACAGTCACACACACAGCATCAATACAGTTACATACACAGCATTAATACAGTCACATACACAGCATTCATACAGTCACATACACAGCATCAATACACACACACAGCATCAACACAGTCACACACACAGCATCAATATAGTCACACAGCATCAATACAGTCACATACACAGCATCAATACAGTCACATACACAGCATTAATACAGTCACATACACAGCATCAATACACACACACAGCATCAACACAGTCACACACACAGCATCAATACAGTCACACAGCATCAATACAGTCACACAGCATCAATACAGTCACACACACAGCATCAATACAGTCACACACAGCATAAATACAGACACAGCATCAATACAGTCACACAGCATCAATACACACACACACAGCATCAATACAGTCACACAGCATCAATACACACACAGCATCAATACACACAGCATCAATACACACACACACAGCATCAATACACACACACAGCATCAATACACACACACACAGCATCAATACAGTCACACAGCATCAATACATACACACACAGCATCAATACACACAGCATCAATACACACACAGCATCAATACACACACAGAACCAATACACAGCATCAATACAGTCACACACACAGAACCAATACACACACAGCATCAATACACACACATACACACACAGCATCATTACAGTCACACAGCATCAATACAGTCACACACACAGCATCAATACAGTCACACACACATCATCAATACAGTCACTCACACAGCATTAATACACACACACAGCATCAATACACGCAGCATCAACACAGTCACACACGACATCAATACAGTCACACACACAGCATCAATACAGTCACACACAGCATCAACACAGTCACACACACAGCATCAATACAGTCACACACACAGCATCAATACAGTTACATACACAGCATTAATACAGTCACATACACAGCATTCATACAGTCACATACACAGCATCAATACACACACACAGCATCAACACAGTCACACACACAGCATCAATATAGTCACAGAGCATCAATACAGTCACATACACAGCATCAATACAGTCACATACACAGCATTAATACAGTCACATACACAGCATCAATACACACACACAGCATCAACACAGTCACACACACAGCATCAATACAGTCACACAGCATCAATACAGTCACACAGCATCAATACAGTCACACACACAGCATCAATACAGTCACACACAGCATAAATACAGACACAGCATCAATACAGTCACACAGCATCAATACAGTCACACAGCATCAATACAGTCACACAGCATCAATACAGTCACACACACAGCATCAATACAGTCACACACACACAGCATCAATACACACACAGCATCAACACAGTCACACACACAGCATCAATACAGTCACACAGCATCAATACAGTCACACACACAGCATCAATACAGTCACACACACAGCATCAATACACACACAGCATCAACACAGTCACACACACACAGCATCAATACAGTCACACAGCATCAATACAGTCACACACAGCATCAATACAGTCACACAGCATCAATACAGTCACACACACAGCATCAATACAGTCACACACACAGCATCAATACACACACAGCATCAACACAGTCACACACACAGCATCAATACAGTCACACAGCATCAATAGTCACACACACAGCATCAATACAGTCACACACACAGCATCAATACACACACAGCATCAATACACACACACAGCATCAATACACACACAGCATCAACACAGTCACACACACAGCATCAATACAGTCACACACACAGCATCAAAACAGTCACACAGCATCAATACAGTCACACACAGCATCAATACAGTCACACACACAGCATCAATACACACACACAGCATCAATACACACACAGCATCAATACACACACACAGCATCAATACACACACACAGCATCAATACACACAGCATCAATACAGTCACACAGCATCAATACAGTCACACAGCATCAATACAGTCACACACAGCATCAATACAGTCACACAGCATCAATACACACACAGCATCAATACACACACAGCATCAATACAGTCACACAGCATCAATACACACACAGCATCAATACACACACAGCATCAATACAGTCACACAGCATCAATACAGACACACAGCATCAATACAGACACACAGCATCAATACACACACACAGCATCATTACACACACACAGCATCAATACAGTCACACACAGCATCAATACAGTCACACACACAGCATCAATACAGTCACACAGCATCAATACAGACACACAGCATCAATACACACACAGCATCAATACACACACACAGCATCAATACACACACAGCATCAATACAGTCACACAGCATCAATACAGACAGCATCAATACACACACACAGCATCAATACAGACACACAGCATCAATACACACACAGCATCAATACACACACACAGCATCAATACACACACAGCATCAATACAGACACACAGCATCAATACAGACACACAGCATCAATACACACACAGCATCAATACACACACAGCATCAATACAGTCACACAGCATCAATACAGACACACACACAGCATCAATGCAGTCACACACACAGCATCAATACAGTCACACACAGCATCAATACACACACACACAGCATCAATACACACACACAGCATCAATACAGTCACACACAGCATCAATACAGTCACACACACACAGCATCAATACAGTCACACACACAGCATCAATACACACACACAGCATCAATACACACACACAGCATCAATACACACACACAGCATCAATACAGTCACACACACAGCATCAATACAGTCACACACACACAGCATCAATACAGTCACACACACACAGCATCAATACACACACACAGCATCAATACACACACACACAGCATCAATACAGTCACACACACAGCATCAATACAGACACACAACATCAATACACACACACAGCATCAATACAGTCACACACACAGCATCAATACAGACACACAGCATTAATACAGTCACACACAACATCAATACAGACACACACAGCATCAATACAGTCACACACACAGCATCAATACAGTCACACACACAGCATCAATACACACACAGCATCAATACAGTCACACACACAGCATCAATACAGACACACAGCATTACTACAGTCACACACAGCATCAATACAGTCACACACACAGCATCAATACAGACACACAGCATCAATACAGTCACACACAGCATCAATACAGTCACACACACAGCATCAATACAGACACACACACAGCATCAATACAGTCACACACAGCATCAATACAGTCACACACACAGCATCAATACAGACACACAGCATCAATACACACACACACACAGCATCAATACAGTCACACACACAGCATCAATACAGTCACACACACAGCATCAATACAGACACACAGCATCAATACACACACACAGCATCAATACAGTCACACACACAGCATCAATACAGACACACAGCATTAATACAGTCACACACAGCATCAATACAGTCACACACACAGCATCAATACAGACACACAGCATTAATACAGTCACACACAGCATCAATACAGTCACACACACAGCATCAATACAGACACACAGCATCAATACAGTCACACACAGCATCAATACAGTCACACACACAGCATCAATACAGACACACACACAGCATCAATACAGACACACACACAGCATCAATACAGTCACACACAGCATCAATACAGTCACACACACAGCATCAATACACACACACACAGCATCAATACAGTCACACACACAGCATCAATACAGTCACACACACAGCATCAATACAGTCACACACACAGCATCAATACAGACACACAGCATCAATACACACACACACAGCATCAATACAGTCACACACACAGCATCAATACACACACAGCATCAACACAGTCACACACACACAGCATCAATACAGTCACACAGCATCAATACAGTCACACACAGCATCAATACAGTCACACAGCATCAATACAGTCACACACACAGCATCAATACAGTCACACACACAGCATCAATACACACACAGCATCAACACAGTCACACACACAGCATCAATACAGTCACACAGCATCAATAGTCACACACACAGCATCAATACAGTCACACACACAGCATCAATACACACACAGCATCAATACACACACACAGCATCAATACACACACAGCATCAACACAGTCACACACACAGCATCAATACAGTCACACACACAGCATCAAAACAGTCACACAGCATCAATACAGTCACACACAGCATCAATACAGTCACACACACAGCATCAATACACACACACAGCATCAATACACACACAGCATCAATACACACACACAGCATCAATACACACACACAGCATCAATACACACAGCATCAATACAGTCACACAGCATCAATACAGTCACACAGCATCAATACAGTCACACACAGCATCAATACAGTCACACAGCATCAATACACACACAGCATCAATACAGTCACACAGCATCAATACACACACAGCATCAATACACACACAGCATCAATACAGTCACACAGCATCAATACAGACACACAGCATCAATACAGACACACAGCATCAATACACACACACAGCATCAATACACACACACAGCATCAATACAGTCACACACAGCATCAATACAGTCACACACACAGCATCAATACAGTCACACAGCATCAATACAGACACACAGCATCAATACACACACAGCATCAATACACACACACAGCATCAATACACACACAGCATCAATACAGACAGCATCAATACACACACACAGCATCAATACAGACACACAGCATCAATACACACACAGCATCAATACACACACACAGCATCAATACACACACAGCATCAATACAGACACACAGCATCAATACAGACACACAGCATCAATACACACACAGCATCAATACACACACAGCATCAATACAGTCACACAGCATCAATACAGACACACACACAGCATCAATGCAGTCACACACACAGCATCAATACAGTCACACACAGCATCAATACACACACACACAGCATCAATACACACACACAGCATCAATACAGTCACACACAGCATCAATACAGTCACACACACACAGCATCAATACAGTCACACACACAGCATCAATACACACACACAGCATCAATACACACACACAGCATCAATACACACACACAGCATCAATACAGTCACACACACAGCATCAATACAGTCACACACACACAGCATCAATACAGTCACACACACACAGCATCAATACACACACACACAGCATCAATACACACACACACAGCATCAATACAGTCACACACAGCATCAATACAGACACACAACATCAATACACACACACACAGCATCAATACAGTCACACACACAGCATCAATACAGACACACAGCATTAATACAGTCACACACAACATCAATACAGACACACACAGCATCAATACAGTCACACACACAGCATCAATACAGTCACACACACAGCATCAATACACACACAGCATCAATACAGTCACACACACAGCATCAATACAGACACACAGCATTACTACAGTCACACACAGCATCAATACAGTCACACACACAGCATCAATACAGACACACAGCATCAATACAGTCACACACAGCATCAATACAGTCACACACACAGCATCAATACAGACACACACACAGCATCAATACAGTCACACACAGCATCAATACAGTCACACACACAGCATCAATACAGACACACAGCATCAATACACACACACAGCATCAATACAGTCACACACACAGCATCAATACAGTCACACACACAGCATCAATACAGACACACAGCATCAATACACACACACAGCATCAATACAGTCACACACACAGCATCAATACAGACACACAGCATTAATACAGTCACACACAGCATCAATACAGTCACACACACAGCATCAATACAGACACACAGCATTAATACAGTCACACACAGCATCAATACAGTCACACACACAGCATCAATACAGACACACAGCATCAATACAGTCACACACAGCATCAATACAGTCACACACAGCATCAATACAGACACACACACAGCATCAATACAGACACACACACAGCATCAATACAGTCACACACAGCATCAATACAGTCACACACACAGCATCAATACACACACACACAGCATCAATACAGTCACACACACAGCATCAATACAGTCACACACACAGCATCAATACAGTCACACACACAGCATCAATACAGACACACAGCATCAATACACACACACACAGCATCAATACAGTCACACACACAGCATCAATACAGACACACAGCATTAATACAGTCACACACAGCATCAATACAGTCACACACACACAGCATCAATACACACACAGCATCAATACAGTCACACACACAGCATCAATACAGACACACAGCATTAATACAGTCACACACAGCATCAATACAGTCACACACACAGCATCAATACAGACACACAGCATCAATACAGTCACACACAGCATCAATACAGTCACACACACAGCATCAATACAGACACACACACAGAATCAATACAGTCACACACACAGCATCAATACAGTCACACAGCATTAATACAGTCACACACACAGCATCAATACAGACATACAGCATCAATACAGACACACACAGCATCAATACAGTCACACACAGCATCAATACAGTCACACACACACAGCATCAATACAGACACACACAGCATCAATACAGTCACACACACACAGCATCAATACACACACACAGCATCAATACACACACACAGCATCAATACAGTCACACACAGCATCAATACAGACACACACACAGCATCAATACAGTCACACACACAGCATCAATACAGACACACACACTGCATCAATACAGACACACACAGCATCAATACAGTCACACACACAGCATCAATACAGACACACACAGCATCAATACAGTCACACACACACAGCATCAATACACACACACAGCATCAATACAGTCACACACACACAGCATCAATACAGACACACACAGCATCAATACAGTCACACACACACAGCATCAATACACACACACAGCATCAATACACACACACAGCATCAATACAGTCACACACAGCATCAATACAGACACACACACTGCATCAATACAGTCACACACACAGCATCAATACAGACACACAGCATCAATACAGACACACAGCATCAATACAGTCACACACACAGCATCAATACAGTCACACACAGCATCTATACAGTCACACACACACAGCATCAATACACACACACAGCATCAATACAGTCACACACAGCATCTATACAGTCACTTCCTTGTCGCTCTTCTGTCGCAACTGCCACGGTTCCTGTGACCTGCACTTGTTGGTTTCTCTTCCCATGTTGAGGACGCGGCCTACCCCAGATTGGCTCGTCTCAACCACAGCGTTCACCACCACCACCACTAACACAGCAGATGACAATGACACACGGACTGCTGCAGGTCGCCTCGCTTTCTCTTCCTGCTTCACTAGCGCTGCTCCACTTTGGAATCCTCTCCCATCGTCTAATTCCTCCCTAGCACCTACAACAATAACTTGTGCTCACTTCAATAAAACTTACGTTAATAGCGCTGTTGCTGGGCCGCTTGTAATTTTTGGGCCCGTGCTCTGCAATTGCGCTAAATACCCACGGCCATTCGAGCCGAGTGTCGGTCCTCGGTGTTCCGTGCACTTGATCCGTTGCTTTGGGCGTGACCTCTCATCTTCCCCGGGAGTGGGGACCTCGCTTGAGAGAGATTTTTCTACTCCAGCGGCGGGTAGATTTTGTCACGGTTCAGGACGGTGCATTTAAATGACATACCGTAAGGGCAGTGGTTTCGCTTCCTGTTTACACATCGTGCTCAGATAATGTGTGACATGAGTTGTGTGTTTCTGATAGGTGTGTGATGCGTGTATGTAATGTGTGTAGATGGTGTAATGGGTGTGTGTGATGCGTGTAGGTGATGTATGATGAGTGTATGTGATGTGTGTAGATGATGTGATGGATGTGTGTGATGTGTCCGTGCGTCTAGGCCTGGCAGCAGTCCCCGACCCTGCGTGCGGACCTGTACTCCCACCTGGCACTCCACGTGCCGCGCGTGTACTGCACGGCGGCCGCGGGCTGCGCGCATAGCGAGGACTTTCTGGCCGGACAGCTGCTGTTGGAGCCGCTCGAGTGGCTGCTATGCGGTGGGTGGGACCCCCTGGAGCGGTTCGGCACACTCCGCCAGGAGGCCCAGACGCGTCAACTGTGCGGACACGCCTTCAAGATGGGGGAGCCCACGTACTCGTGCAGGTGGGGTGGTGCGTTGGTCACTCTGTCCAGCCACCAGGGTCAGGGGATCTCGGGGTGGCGGGCGGGGTTGCCTGCCACAGAACGTGGCATTGTGTCGGAGCGCAGGAATTGGTGGTGCGATGATGGCGGCCGTGCCCCACAGCAAGGGCCTGTGTCCGCTTCCTTACTTGGGCACCATCCTGTGTGACGCTTGTAGTTTTCCCCCAGTTCTGCATGGCTCTTCTTCCAAAGCCAAAATAAATAAAAAACTTAATATGTAACTGCCATTGGCCAAACATCCCAATGCTGAGAAATTACACTACAATTCACTTACTTGGAAGACACATAGCAGTCATCACCTGTCAAAACTAGCAGGACCCTGCTGAAAAGCGTCTAGAGACTCGGTGAAGCTTTCCGGGTAAACAACTGTTATAGTACCAGGCTGTTAGTTAGTGTTGCTGTTAGGAAAGGGGGTGCTAGGTGCTGTGCTTATGGTGCGTGTGTGCATTGCCGCGTGTGTCCTGCTGCAGGGAGTGTGCGATGGACCCCACGTGCGTGCTGTGCATGGAGTGCTTCCAGCACAGCGTGCACAAGAGCCACCGTTACCGGGTACGAGCTCGGTTTAGCCGCAACCCAGACTCCTGCGGGCACAGACAAGAGTTTCATGTGGTTCATGCAAACGCGCAGTTTTAGTTCCTCTTCTTGTTTCTTTCAGATGAACGCGTCGGGTGGGGGAGGCCTGTGCGACTGTGGTGACGTAGAGGCCTGGAAAAGCGGCCCCTTCTGTGATATCCACCTCCCGGCCAGCGGCGCACCTGACCCCGTGAGCGCAGCCCCTGTCAGTAACGCTGTCACTGATTCGTTGGATGTTTTCAATGTCGAGCTTCATAGAGTGTAGGCAGGATTACGACACAGGGTGTAATTACACAATGGAGAATGACATCCCGATCGGAATTGAAGAGCTTTGTTCTGATTTCAAGCTGCTTGCTTCACTGCTGAGCCACCTGGCCAGTTTGGATGTATCTGTGTGTGTGTGCATGGAGCGGTAGTATAACGGTTGGTGCATTGTGCTATGAACCCGCTGACTTGAGTTCAATTCTCCGCTCAAGGCGAACACTAGTGACAATTATCTGTACCATCTCTGGGCTTTCCCTAGGTCGACTCAACCTCAAATATGTACCTGGTACGATATATAAACATCACCACTAGGGAGACAAAGGCGGCCGGGCGTGTTGCTGGCCACTCCCTCGTGTGCCATGCTGGCCTTCATAGGTGCTTGCTCGCAGAATTTGCCCCAACAGTCTGTTAAGGCATTCGGGGGATCTTTGTACCTTTGTGCGTGTGTGAGTGTAGGACCCCACGTCCCGGCTGCCCTCGGATCTGGTTGCCCGTGCACAAGCCGTATTCAGCATTGCCCTGCGGTATGCTGCCGACATGCTGTGCTGGGAGGAGGATGACACGCTGCCCCTCGGCCTGGAGCCCACGTAAGCACTCATGCATGAGCACGCAGGGGTACGCACGTGCACACACGGGCACACACAGGCACACGCATGCACGCATACACGTACAGGCACGCTTGCACACACTCAAGGATTTTCAGACAAAGATCTATCGTATAGCCTTAACAGACTGTTGGGGCAAGTGTCGTTAGCGAGTAGCACCTATGAAGGCCGGAACGGTACACGAGGGGGTGGGTGGCCAGCACCACGCCCGACCGCCTTTGTTTCCCCAGTGGTGATGTTTACACACCACACCAGATACTCATTTGAGGCTGAGTCGACCTAGGGGAGGCCCAGGACCGGTTCAGATAATCGTCACTGGTGTTGGCCGTGGGCGGGAATCGAACCCGTGTCGCCGGGTTCGTAGCGCAGCGCGCTAACCGCTACACTACCGCTCCCCACTGATTTTCAGACACACACTCACACACTTACCCAAGCTCCTGTGAGCGATGTCCATCCTCGCCCCCACCGTGTGTTTGTGTGCGCACGAGCAGGCGGAAGGGCTCGGCCTACTACTGCATGCTGTTTAACGACGAGGTGCACACCTATGAGCAGGTGATCTACGTGCTGCAGAAGGCGGTCGGCTGCTCGCAGAAGGAAGCCAGCAACTTCGCCACCAACATTGACCGCGATGTGAGTTACGCTCGTTCCCACCGCACGCTCTTAGCATAATCTGTTGTTGTACTGTATTTCTATGCTCCTGCCTTTATGGACATGTACCAATCAGTGGGGTAAAAATTTTACCAAATAATAACCCCCCCCCCCACCACGGCCCTTACGGGACGGGGGGGAGGCCTTCTTTGGACAGGGATTTGCATGTGTTCTCTTGTCCTCCCTTTCCTTGTGGCTGTCATTGGCAGGGACGCAAGTCGGTGCTGTACGGAGAACACAAGTTATGTGAGCAGGCGAAGGCTGTGATTGAGGTGAGTTGTCATTGCATGCAGGTAATTAAGGCTCCTCAGGCCCAAAGGGAAACTGATGAAGGTTGAGTTCTTTGCTGGCTGTGTGGGTATCTGTGTGTGGTGGGGAGTGGTGGTGTAGCGGTTAGCGCGCTGCGCTATGAACCTGGTAACCCGGGTTCGATTTCCACTCATGGCCAACACCAGTGACAATTATCTGAACCGGTCCCGGGCCTCCCCTAGGTCGACTCAGCCTCAAATGAGTACCTGGTGCGGTGCGTAAACATTGCCACTAGGGAGACAAAGGCGGCCGGGCGTGGTGTTGGCCACCCACCCCCTAGTGTGCTGTGCCGGCCTTCATAGGTGCTCGCTGACAGCACTTGCCTCTATAGTCTGTTAAGGCTACACGAGGGATCTTTGTCTTTGTTTACACGTGACTATATGTTTTTATGGGGAGCAGTAGGCTAGTGCACAGTGCTACGAGCCCGGCGACCCGAGTTCTATTCCTACTCGTGGCTAACGCCAGTGACGATTATCTGAATTGGTCCTGGGCTTCCCAAGGTCAACTCGGCCTCAAATGAGTACTTTTGGTGCGATGTGTAAATATGGTTATGAGGGAGATAAAGGCGGCTAGGTGTGATGATGGCCACCCACCCCTCTTGTGCCGCGTTCAATTTAATCTGTGCTCGCTCTGAGCACTTGCCCAAGCAGTATGTTGAGGCGGTATGGGGATCATTGTGCATCTCTATGTGTGTTGCATGTAGCGGAGCACGGGGAGAGGCAACCAGAAGCCGCTGAAGGTGCGGGTGATGCTGGCAGCTGTGGTGGCGCACCAGCTGTTTGCCATGCGGCTCCTGGCGTGGCTTGCACACGTCATCTCACACTCGGGTGAGCGGTGCGCACCTCACACAGGCACCACTCCCCACTACTCTGTCGTTTGTGCCTCGCCGCCCGGTGCGCCCTCAGTACCTCGTACTTGATGCGTCGTGCCGCCCCCTACTGGCAGACTACCCACTGTGTGAGTGTGCTGCATACAGCTTGTGCCGTGTCGGGATGATTGCCGATGGGGGACCCCCAACGCTAGACTGCTTTGGGGCAATGGAGATGAGATGTAATCTTCTTGGTTTATTCGGTGAAGTCACGTAGAATGGAAATAATAAAAATAAAACATAAAATAATTCTCACGACGTTTCGGCCACAACGCAAGCAGCCGTCCTCAGGTGGAGAACAGGTCTGTCGAGAGACTCTGTCGAGAGACTCTGTCTTCTCGACAGACCTGTTTTCCACCTGAGGACGGCTGCTTGCGTTGTGGCTGAAACGTTGTGAGAATTATTAAATGTTTTATTTTTATTATTTTATAATTTCCATTCTACGTGACTTTACCGAAAGAACCAAGAAGATGATCCCTGCAGTCACGAAAGATTTAAATCGAAATGAGATGTAATGTCAGGCTATTTGAGTGCCCTATTGATGTGATGCAAAAACATCAGCACTGGGGAGACAAAGGTGGGCGGGCGTGGCATCTGCTGGACCACCCCTTCATAGGTGCGCCATGCCAGCCTTTCTATGTGCTTGCTAATAGGCCTTGCTCAACAGCGTGTTAAGGCTACACAGGGTATCTTTGTCGTTGTGCAGAGGGCCTCCGGAGGGTGCTGTGCCAGGTGGGACTGGACCCGGGGCCTGATGGGCAGGACTCGTCTCCTATCAGCCGCCTCATGCTCTACGACTCCAAACTGTGGAAGGGTAAAGGCATGCGCATGACACGGCAAAGCGGAGATGTCCTCCGCTCTGTGTACTGACGCGTAACACATTCAGCAGTGGGCACTCACGCATGCGCTGTGTGCGGCCTGCTGTGGCTGGTGCTGCACTGCAGGTGCGCGGAACGTTTACCACCAGCTGCTGATGAGCAGCCTCCTCCTGGACCTGGAGTACAAGCGCCGCTTCGCCATTCAGTTCACCAAGGTGAGGATGCCTGGGGAGGGGGGGGGGGGGTGCGTGGGAGGCCACTGTGGCACCATCATCACCAATGTCGCCACAATCACCACCATCATCTTCATTATTTATACTGCGCCACCCCTCCCTTACATCTCGTGTCACTGCTTTCCCATCGCTGGGGCCGGTTCCCCACCATTGCTGTCACCTGCACTCCCACCATCACTGCCATTACCATCACCATCATCACCAGATCCACAATCATCATAACCACCACCAGCACCATCATCGCCACCGTGCTGAACGGCATGTGTCTCCACATAGAATTACCAGCGCCTGCAGAAGGACTTCATGGAGGACGACCACGAGCGCTCGGTCTCCGTCACGGCGCTGTCCGTGCAGATCTTCACAGTGCCCACTCTAGTGAGTGCCTCCACCCACACCCACACCCTCACCCGTCAGACTCCTACACCCCGCTGGACCACTCTCAACCCCTCCCCTCATTGGTGAGTGTCTGGGTGTAGCTTTCTACGCTGTCATCGTGGGGTTATAAAGGATGGTGGTGGTGATGGTATCGGTCATCATGGTGGTGATGTTTGTGGTTTTGATGACGGTGAAGGTGGTAATGATGGTTAAGGTGATGACGGTGATGACAGTGATGACAGTCGTGTTGTGACGGTGATGGTGTTGGTCTTGATATTGAAGGTGATGACGGTGAAGGTGACAATGGTGGCGATTAGGACAGTAAATGTGATTATGATGGTGACAGTAATAAGCATGATAATGTGGTGTTGTGACAGCAGTGACGGTGATGATGTTGGTCTTGGTGGCGATGGTGGCGGGTGGCAATGGTGACGGCTGTAGTGATGGTGTTGGTCTCGATGCAGGCGCAGGAGCTGATCCAGACGGAGGGGCTGGTGCGCGTCATCGTCACTGCGTTCGTGGAGCAGCTGCTGAGTCGACGCGACAGCAGCGGACGCTTCCAGTTTGAGCGCTATACAGCGCTGCAGGCCTTCCGCTTCCACCGGATGCACGCCATCCTTGGTGACCTCAGGTGGGGTCACGACCCCCGACCTGCACCCCAAGCACCCCGCACCTTCTTGGCAGAGTTCCTCACCCCTGTGTGTGCGTGGGTTCGTGTCTACACGTATCACCTCCTGCGTGTGTGTGTGTGTGTATGTATAGCACCCTATGTAGCCAACCGTGCTATTTGGAGATGCGGATATGGGAGTGTGCGGAGCGGTAGTGTAGCGGTTGGCATACTGCGCTACGAACCCAGTGAACAGAGTTCAATTCCAGTTCGATTCCAGCGCACAGCCACCAACACCAATGTTCCTGGGCCTCACTTAGGTCGACTCTCCTTCAAATGAGTATCTGTAAACATCATCCCGAGGGAGACAAAGGCAGTAGAGCGTGGTGCTGTCGTCCCATCCTCTGTGCTGTGCCGGCCTTCATAAGGTGCTCACTAACAACGCTTGCCCAAACAGCCTCTTGTGGCTATATGGGGGTCTTTGTTTATGTGTGTGTGTCTGCTTCGTTGCGTGTTCCTGTTTGTGCCCGTGCATGCCTTTGCATGCAGGTACGTGTTGGCATGCCGGCCGGCAGGGTGGAGTGAGCATCTGAGACAGCGCTTCCTTGAGGGGTTCGACGTGCTGCTGGAGCTGCTCAGGGCCATGCAGGTGCTGCGCCCTGCCCTCTCATTCACAACACTTGTTGTTCGACATTGACAACAGTCTCAACGACAGCCAGTTACCTCATTACTCTTCTACCGCAACTACCGTGGTGACTGTTCCTGTGAACTTCACTCCTTGATTCCTCCTCCCCCCGCATTGAGGACCCGGTCTACCTGATTGTCTCATATCATCCTGCACACTGTGTTCAACCACCACCATGCAGGTCACAACAATACACTCACCCACTCACTTAACCATTCACTCACCCACTCAGCATATTGCATGTCACAATACTCCCCTAGTCCACTCAGTCTTGTGTACTTGGTGCGGTGTGTAAACATCACCACTGGGGGAGACGAACGTGAATGAGCATGCTGCTGGCCATGTCACCTCATAGGTTTCAAGTAACAATTGTTTCGATCTGGGGAGAACTCAAGAAACCAGGCTACTCTCATTCGCAAAAGTGGCCTGGGTCACCAGTTGCCACAACAGCCTGTGCACGCCACACGGGGGACCTTTGTGTGTGTTTGCAGGGAATGGACCCAGTGTCACGACAGGTGAGCCAGCACATGGAGGTGGAGCCCGAGTGGGAGGCGGCCTTCACCCTGCAGACCAAGCTGACGCACGTCCTCGCCATGCTGCAGGAGTGGTGCGCCTCTGACGTGAGTGCGACACACCGGCACCGCGCCACGTGCGTCATTGTCATTATTATTCGGGCGATGCGCCCATCTCCCACACAGGTGGAAGGATAGTAGACGGTTCCATCTGTGACTGGTCACCTGCTGCTCTGCCCATCGAGATCATTTAGTGGTGGAACCAAAGCGTCCACCAGCTGACAGCCAGCGCCGGTGAACGTCTGCAGACCCCACACGTCAATTTCTAAGGTTCGGTCCTGTTCCAAAAACAAGTTGGGGACCTCTACAACGTGGCACACAAACAAGAAGAATTGTATTATTAGTAGTATTCCACTTGTTCACTCAGGAAAGGCTCACTGAATATCAAGATTCTTTTTCATGAGGTTCCTGTCATGTGTTCACAGTTGGGGGTGATGTCGCTGTGCATAACCCCATTGAGTTATTTGCAGGTCATCTTTTAGCTTTGGGGTGCGGTTTGGCCAATGACAGTTACATTGTGTGTTTATTTTTAGCTATGGGAGGAAACTGGAGAACCCGGACGCAACCCATGCAGAACAGCGGGAGAACCACAAACTCCATACAGAAAGGCGCCCGAGTCGGGAATCAAACTCAGGGCTTCTTTCTCTTGGGCGCGAATGTCACCACTGCGATGCCCTGCCGCTCATCATCCTTCCCTCCACGGTCAATAAAATGAGCATCTCCTTGTGGGAAAGTCAACAGCAGTCGTCCTATGGATAGATTTGCCCCCGCCACTTTCAGAATTTGGAATTTCTACCACTGGCTCTGGCGCTATAAACAGGAGATGAGCACCACCTCGATGCCCACTTGAGCAGCAGGAACTCACTTTGCCTCTGGTTGTGCCTCGCAAACCCCGGTTTGTGCGGCGTGTGGGGGTGCGGTGCAGGAGCTGGTGCTGGTGGAGGCGTACCGGCGCTGCGTGGAGGCGCTGGCCGCCGGCCAGGAGGAGGATGCTCCCGAGACTTTGGTATTGGCCGGCCACACCGTGGAGAGCGGCGCCTTCTGCGTTTCGCAGCGGCCCGTCAGTGTGCACCTGCCGCTGTCCCGCCTGCTCGCCGGTAACCACTGCTTCTACCTGTGTGTGCACTGGGGGGGGGGGCAGGGGGGGGGGAGGGTAGGGTGGCACGTGCCCCCCCAATGATCCGATTGAAATTAGGGATTTCGATCGGATCATTGGGATTTATTCGTAATAAATCGGAATTTTGCGACCCCCACTGCCACTGTGTAACATTATTATGTACCAGGGACTTTATGAGATGATAGGACAATAGTCTGAGTCCATAATTGGCAGTACGTAACAAAGCAGTTATAAGTGACTCAGAATTGTGCGCAGTTGCGTATACAGTACACGACTTCTCTGAAAGCAAACACCTTCAGCGAGCGCGATGCCGATCACACGGTTCGAATTCGACCCTCGATCGATGACTGCGCCATCGCCGCACACGCGTTGAATAAAAAGCAAGGGACAAGTCCTTTCTTACTAACAACTCCTCTATCATTTAACATTGCTGGAGGGGTTGCCCCACCCCACCTGAAAATCCTGGCTCCGCCATTGTGTGTGTTTGTGTGCGTGCGCATGTGTTCCTGTGTCAGTGTGTCTATGGGGTGTTGTGGTGCAGCGGTTAGCATGTTGCACTACGAGCCTAGACACTGGAGGTCGATTTTTTCTGATGACCGAATATCTGAACTCATCCTGGGCCTTCCTTAGGTCGACTCGGCCTCAAATGAATTCTGCATGTGGTTTATAAAGATCATGAGTTGATGAGAATGTGAGAGGTGAGCGGGAAAGAGGGGGTGAGCGAGAGGTGGTGGGGCAGCCGTGACGATGCTGCTGCTGCTGCTCTCTCCCCCTAGGTCTTCACGTGCTGCTGAGCCGTACGGAGGTGGCCTACACGCGCCCCGAGCTGCTACCCCTGGTGAGCGACCCCGTGTGCCCTCTTGCCACCCTCTGACCTTGCTCGCTCCAACCGTAGCGCGTGGTGCCGTTTGTCCTTAGCAAGGCCTGCTGTGCAGAGCCAGGACCGTTCGTCTGAAAATTGTGATCGACTGCTTTGCTTGTGGTCAATCACACAGACCCCTTAAAAAATGGTGGCCATCCCTACATTCTGCCTGCCGCAGGCGGGAAACCCCCGTCAGAGCCACAGTCAGCGTGACGCGGCTGATGTTGCTGGTGAAGTCGTCAAGCTTCACACATTACCTCCCGTCCAGCGACACACCTGGGAACAAAGGGGAGACATATTTTTTCCTCGTGATTGCTGGCCAGCTCTGCAGCTGATCTCTGGGAGCGTTGCAGCAGTCGGGTTTGTTGCCACTCCCCCTCAGCCGCTTGTGTCGCTGGTGCAGGAGTTGAGCGGAGAGAGTGACGGTGCCGCGTGTCATTTCTCTTGCAGAACGAGCTGAGCCCCCCAGCGCTCATTGAGCAGCCACTACGCTGCCTGGCCATGGTGGCCCAGGTGCATGCTGGGATGTGGCGCCGGAACGGATTCTCGCTCGTTAACCAGGTAAGGCTGGCGAGGGCAGTGCGAGAGCGGTGCTATTGTTCTTGTTTTGCTTGCAATGCCCCTGGATGCCCGTGAGTCGTCGCACTATACAACAGGGAAGGCGGCAGCAGTGACCTCTTACCCTTGTCCCCACCACAGATTTACTACTACCACAACGTGAAGTGCCGCAGGGAGATGTTCGACAAGGACATTCTCATGCTTCAGGTTCGGTGCCGTGGCCCTTTCTCCCCCTCCTGCTCCTGTGTGTAGCTTTGTGGTGGTTGTGGTGTTGAAGTGTTGACAGTAGTGCTGTTATGGAGGTGGTGGTTTTGTGGCCATAGTGGTATGGTTGTTCCGGTGGTTTTGCTATGGCAGTGTTGGTAGTTGTAGTGCGGTTATCGTGTAGCGTGTGGCTATGCTAATGTAGGAGCGGTGGTGGAGTGGTGGTTGTGCTTGAACTGGAGTGGTTGTGTGGCGGCCGTGCGGTGCAGGTCGGAGCATCCATGATGGACCCCAACCACCTGCTCATGATTCTGCTTAAACGCTTCGAGCTCTTCCACCTTTTCCTGTGCCCCGAGTACGGGCGGGCGCACGGCACGGACGCTGCAAAGGCAGGAAGCGCGTCACACACACCACAATACCACGCTCACCACAACACCACACTCACCACAACATCACCCTCACCACAACACCACGTTCACCACAACACCAGACTGCCATATCACCACCCTTACCACTATACCAACATCGCCTCAACACCTGCACTGCCACAATACTGACGCCGCTTCAATACCGACGGTGCGATGACGTATGTTTCACACCGTACCTAGCCAATAATGCACCACCACTACCATCATCACACGCATGAGCCCACACATCCCACACCTCACTCAGTGCCACATGTTCCTGGTAGCGGTTTGTGCTCATAAACGTTGCTTGTGTGTGGGTTTGTCTGCTTGTGTCCGCGTGTGTGCCTGCGTCTGTTTGGATGCACGTGCGCATTTCTGTGTGTGTGCGTGCTCCCACAGGACATGACGCAGCAAAACAACAGCCTTCTGGAAGGAGATGCTGCACCTGGTCATCATGATCACCGGTACGAGCCGGATCGTCCTGCACAGTCATGCTGATGATGCTCATGAGTGGCAATAAACTTGCCGATCTTCACGGCCACAGCTTTGAAGCCTGTATTCGTTAAGATGAAGACGTGGTCAGCGATGTGGATCTGGTGACTAAAGGAGGCATTGCGCTTAGTGGCCATCGGGGGTCACTGGGTGGCTCTGCACACATCCACGTCTTGTGGCAGTCATCTGCTGCTCGTGTTTGTTGCGTTTCTGATGTTACGTTGTTGCTGTTGTGGTGTTGAGTTGCGGTGTTGCTGGTGTTGAGTTGTGTTTCTGCTGCGGCCACTCCCAGGCGAACGGTTTGTGCCGGGGCTGGGCCGCGTGTCGCCGCTGGAGGTGACGCGGCGCGAAGTCGTGCACCAGCTCTGCATCAAGCCGATGGCACACAGCGAGCTGGTGCGCTCGCTCACTGAGGACGTGAGTGGCCCTTGCCCTCTCAGCTCGCCCTCTCCGCTCGCCCCTGTCCCCCACACGGCTGTTGTTGCCATGAGCCGACGTGCCGTATGAAAGCGGCGCTCTTTGTTTTTTCTCCTCAGGAAAACCACGAGACGGGGATGGAGGCTGTGATTGAGGAGGTGGCCACCTTCAGGTACCAGAATTTGCACACGTGGCCAGACAAAGGCAATAGCCCAGGAATAAGGTTCACGTGGAGCTCCCTGTGAGCTATCACCGCGTGTGTGCTTGTGTGTGAGCTTGCATGTGTAGAGGAGAGAAATAGGCGGTGCGCACAGTTAAGCGGGTGCAATGGAGGGCAAGCAGGTGTGCGCGTTGTAACATGAGGTTTTCACCGACAAACCGACAGTAATTAAGGGGAGAAGCGGGTGCACCCGAGGTCGAACAGGTGCTACGATGTGACCGGAGGTTGGCGCCTAGGAGACGGGAGATGGGGGGTGATGATAAGAGATGAATGGGACCACTGGCGCCGGCCTGGCGGCAGCTTAAGTAAAAGCACCTGAGGATTCTGGATGAGCAGGGGGATATAAGCGGGAGTGTGTGCGAGCGAGGGGAGTTGTTGTTGCCGGGAACCAAGAGTGAAGACATCTCGCCGCTCCAGCCGGAAACGGGACCTCGTCCCCTCACGCCGTCGCCGGGCGGGTGTTGGCTAATCCCCCCGCCCGGGACAGACGGGTGAGCGGGTCTGAGGGAGCGTAGGTGAGGACAACGGTGGAGATGCGGAGCTGCTGTGTGCGGAGTCGCTGAGTGTGGAGACGCTGAGTGCGGAGTCGCCCAGTGCGAAGTCGCCGAGTGCGAAGATTCTGTGTGCGGAGTCGCTGAGAGCAGAGCGGGGAGGAGTTGAGTATATGTGATCGTACAGATAGTTTTCGAAGTGCCTATAACTGGCGCAAGAACAGGTGAATAAAGTGAAAGCAGGTGACCTGTTACAACGTGTTGGTGCGAGCAATTTTTTAAGACACTATACATGTGTGCGTGCATGTAGGTATGCGCACGTGTGTGCGTGTCGGTGAGTACACGTGTGTGTGTCAGTTTGGGGAGCAGTGCACTGTGCTACAACCCGAGTTCAATTCTCGTTCACAGCCAACATGGGTGACGAATATTTAAACCAGTCCTGGGTCGACTTGGCCTTAAACATTAGTCCCTGCGTATGGTGTGTTAATGGGAAGACAACGGTGGCCAGGCATGGTGCCGGCCACCTCCGCTCTCGTGTCCTGTGACGGCCTTCATAGGTGCTACTAACTTGGCACAACAGTCTGTTAGACTTTACAGGGGGGATCTTTGTCCTGTGTTGCAGGAAGCCGGGCGTCACCAGCAAGGGGCTCTATGAGCTGAAGCCCGGGTGCGCACGCGACTTCAACCTCTTCTACTACCACTACACACGTGCAGAGCAGTCTAAGGTGCCGCCTGCACCGTCGTCTGCGTCCCCGCGTGTCTCCACGTGCACCGCCCCACCCGGCATCTCGCCGTGCTGGGGGCTTCGCTCACTGCGCTCCCCTCGCTCACTACGTCAGCTGCCCACGTGGCCAGGAGATGCCAGTGCAGCGGTGGATTCTTGAATCTGTCCGTGTGTGAGTGGTGGGGATTGTCGTGGTTTTCTGGTTTCCTCCCAAATGCACTCCCTACTGGGTTCAGCCACCACACTGCAGGTCACAACTCGCTCAGCCACTCACTAACTCACCCACTCATCACAATGCAGGTCACAACACTAATATTTCTAATTCTTCGCTCGTGCTGCTCGCCATTATCATCTCTTTTCCCAGGCTCTTATAATTACCTCACTCAATTCAAGGCCATTTATATGATTATTGTTGGTGTTCACCTTGATGACTGCTGTGTTCACAGGCGGAAGAGGCTCAGGGGAAACTGAAGAAGCAGAGCGGAGAACCCCTGGGTGAGGGAAGGTGCCTCTGCGTGCGTGTTTGACGTGTGTGTACATTTGTGTGTACTGTGGGTGAGTGTAATTGTAGCATATGTGTGTGTGCCATGCGTGTATCTCGTGTGTGTGTCCCATGCACAAGTGTCCCCTGCGTAAGTGCAAGTGTCCCGCGTGTAACACGTGTCCATTGTGTGTGTACCGAGTGCGAGTGTCCCGTCCCATATGTGCGTGCGATTATTCCCGCGTGTAACCTATGTTGCAGTGTGTGTGCCGAGTGCAAGTGTCCCGTATGTGTGTGCGAGTGTGTAACGCGTGTGCCGTGTGTGTGCCGTGCGTGTCCCGTGTTGCGGGTGCAGTGTTCCCCCCGCCTGCTGCCCCGCCGCTGTGCGTGCTGTTTGCGAGCCTGGTGAACGTGCTGCAGTGCGACGTGCTGCTGCTCGTGCTGGCGACGGCGCTGCGCTGGGCGCGTGACCCCCGCTCGCACGCGTGGACCGAGCCCATGCTGCAGCGGGTGCGTATGTGTTTGACGGTCCACGTGTTTGTCCGCGTGCCCGTGCGTGTCTCTCTGTGCTCAGCCTGTCTTGGCAATAGGTCTTTGTGTTTAGTCTGTGTATCCAACTGCCTCTCTGTCGGTCTATCAGTGTGTGCTTTGTATGCCGACTGTGACCGTGTGTGCGCATGTGGGTTGTGTGACGTGCCATGTGTGTGACACTTTGCCTGCCAGCGAGCCTTAGACACTTCACGTGGCCTCAAGGTGTACCTCAGCTAGCACAAGCGCTGTGGTGATGTCACCGCCAAATTGTAGCGAATGTTGGTTACTGTTGCCTGCCTCTTGTGGTGTCTGGTGGGTGCTTCCCTCCTCCGTCTGTCCGCCGCTTTACCTGTGTTGTGGATGTTCCCGTGTGTGTTATTCGTGGTGCAGGCACTGCACCTGGTGGTGATGGCACTGCAGGAGGAGAAGCAGCAGCTGGATGGTGGCAGTGGCGATGCGAGCGGCTCCTCCTTCTCGGTCAAGGCTGCGAGTAAGGCCCACGCTCCGAGCTTGCGCATGTCCGTGCATAGTCTTGCTGTCGTGAACGCGCTCACAATCGTGACCGCAAGCTGCACTTGGCAATCCTCATGGCAGAGGCAGGATAGAGTTGGGTTAGTGTGTTTAACCAGGTGTGAGAACTCCATAGGGTCTGACCCGGGTCAACAAACTGACAACAGTAATAGCAACAATCAAGCAAACAAATCAGAGTAAAGACAACTTCTGCAGAAGATATCTAAAATACCACACGAAAAATGTAATGTCCTGGAACAGATGCTGTTGGACGTTTACAAACCGTGTATAGTTACAAAGTGAACGTTGACAGCGCGTGGCACGGTGTGGACCGCACGCAAGGCAACCTCTGTCTGCCCGTTGTCTGGTCCGTGAAGGCGTTGCTGGTGCCCGGGTAGCTGTAGTGTGTGTGTGTGCGTGTGTGTGCGTGTGTGCGCGTGTGTGCACGTGCGCATGTGTGCACGTGCGTGTATGTGCACGTGCGTGTGTGTGCAGGTCCTGTGAGCAGTGGGCTAGAGGAGCACCCAGACGGATTGAGTCTGCTGGCGTTGCTCAGGCTCCTACAGAACGCTGCACACCTGGAGGCGCAAAAAGACACCATCACCTGGACACTGCAGGTGCGTGCCTGCATTTATTGGTCATCTCACCGTAACCCACTGATACACAGGAGAGCGAGTGGTGTGGACATATGTATGCTCGTGTGTGTGCCAAGCGCTCGCAGCCCCACGCACGTGACTCGGGATTTGATATTTGACTCTGATCTCTTCGTGAGCTTTCATTGGAATCCCTTGCATCTCCTCCTCTCCCTCACCCGCAGCTGTTCGAGGCCGTGCACCAGCTGCATCAGAAACCCAGCCAGGGCATCGCCATGGCTGTGTCTGGCCAGCGTGCAGAGGAGGTGGGGACCACACACCAGCAGCAGCACGAGCAGCTGCTGTGTCGCTCATTCCGGTATCATTACCCTGTGGAAGGGAGTGAAAGAATCCACCCTCTCCGCTGCTTAGCATGGGCTCACACCCTGACTGGGGGAAGCCCCTCTCTGACCCTGATGTGTGCCGTGCCCGCCCCCCCCGCCGCCACGCGACAGAACCCACAGGAGCGCGAGAAGGCCGAGCGCAAGCGCAAGGCGGAGCTGGCGCGCGTGCGCCGGGAGAAGGTCATGGCACAGATGTCGGCCATGCAGCGCAACTTTATAGATGAGAACCGCGAGCTCTTCGAGCAGACACTGGGGCAGGCGGAGGTGACACCATCGCCGGCCACGACACCGTCTCCCGTCGAGGGGTAAGGGCGTGGAGCGCTGGCGTGCTACCTTTGTGATTGCCATGATGCTTGTTCACCCAGAAGAAACCAAGCGAAATATTCCATCAATCAGGGATTTTCCAGGTGAAATATTTTAACATCCATATCTTTAAAAACAGATGAGTGTTGTAGGTACGATTCGTAGGGTGGGACCACGTGTGCAGGATGGGGGAGGCCTGATTGCCATGACAGGCATTGGAGTGGTTTCCACGAGTCAAGAGGATGAGAAGATCTAAGTTCTGATGGTGTTGGAGGTCACTGCGTGTCGACTGTGTGGTAGCTGCGATAGTGAGGAGGTGCGGTGGGGGTACCAGCGGCTTCAGCCACAATGACTTCTCGACTGATATGGAGATTGTAACAATAGTCATACTATGTAAATGTTGTTGCCAATTTCAATGTAGGGCCACAGAGCTTGGTCAATTGTATGCACCGGTTCTGGCTGCTACCTTCTCCGCTTGTCTGGAGGAAACGGTGCCCGTTGCAAACTTGTAACTTGAACTGTTTCTTTATACTTTTTAATTCTGACCTTTTGAGAGCCCTAACTGACACCACTGCCCCTGGTGCCATCGCATCCGCAGAGCGCAGGCAGTGAGTGGCGGTGGCGCTGTGGTGGCGCCATGCGCCGTGGGCCCCGGTGCGGTGGCCCCGCCCCAGGGCCGCCGTACCGCCGCTTGCATCTTGTGCCAGGAGGAACAGGAGGTGAGCGCCAGCCGCCCTGCCATCGTGCTCGCCGCCTACGTGCAGCGCTCCACTGTGCTCAGCACGGCCCCCCGCGCCACGCACATCTCCACGGGTGAGGGCCCCCCCTCCCGGTCGTTCAGTTGTGCTACCGTGCGTGCATCTCTGTGCATGTGTCTGCGTGTCTGTGTTCGTGTGGTGGTTGACTCGAGCCTCAAATGAGTACCTCTGGTGCGATGTGTAAACATTGTCACTTTGGAGACAAAGGCGGCCGGGCGTGGTGCTGGCCACCCACCCCCTCGTGTGCCATGCTGGACTTAATAGGTGCTCGCTAACAGCACTTGCCCCAACAGTCTGATCAGGCTATACGGGGGATCTATGTCTTTGTACTTACCTGTTCGTGTGTATCTTTGTGTTTGTGTATCTCCGCGTGTCTGTTTTTTGCGTGTTTATTCAGATGGGCTGGACCCTCTACTGGCACCAGTTGAGCTGCCGTGTGGCATCCACACCAGCAGCTGTGGCCATGCCATGCATGCTCACTGCTGGCAGAGGTGCTACACCACACGCATACACGCACACTCTCACACACGATCAGATGACACAGCCGAGCACATGATCGCTGTGACCTACTGTACTCCTGTAGAAGAGTTACATCTCCAACAACAACTCCCTCGGTTCGCGACTAAGTGCGGTGATAGCACCATGTCGCTTGTGCCAAGCTAGGTGCTGCTTGAGGCCACGTGGAAATTCCTCTGGTACATCCATGGAAAACTCGAACTACGTGGTCAAAAAAGATGTTAAATAACATCGGAGTCCGAGTACATCCGTGACCTCCTGCCAATGAGTCTTCCACACTCGACCTGGCGGTTATTGTGCATCTGCATTTAACACGAACGCTTGCACGTTTACACACTTGTGGCTGTCTGTATGCGCTCGTGCAGTTTCTTCGAGGCTGTGCAGATCAAGGAGCAGCGGAGGCAGCACCGTCTACGTGCCCACGCCAGCTACGACGTGGATGCGGGAGAATTCCTGTGCCCGCTTTGCCAGTGCATCAGCAATACGGTGCTGCCCGTGGTGCCCGCCTCACCGACCACGCGTGCGGAGCGCACCCAGCCCGACAGGTGCCCGGCCACGCGCACACACACACACGGGGCACACGCACACACACGGGGCACTGTGTGAGCAAGGCCGCCGGGAGGCTTCGGTTGGGCCGGTTGCCGCGCACAGCTGTCTCCTGGCGCAGAAATGCATCCTCACGAGATCGTGAATAGTCCGTCCACCTGTGGCTTGCCACTACAAGATAATCAAGCAGCGTTCAAGCAAGCAAACTCTGAACCGGTATCGACCATCTGGGTCTCGTCAGTATTCAGGCCTATGAAACAAATGCTTACTGCATGTTTGTGTTTGAGTGTGTAGGTGTGTACTTGTGCATGTGTGTAAGTGTTTGTCTTATTGTTTTTGTACGTACATGTGTGTGCTTACCTAGCCCGGCACAAGCGCTACGATGACGTCACCGTCAGTAATGACGTGTGTACGTGTGTGTACGTGTGTGTGTACGTGTGTGTGTACGTGTGGAGCAGCGAGGAGGAGTTGGAGGTGCCCGTGCTGGCTGCGTGGCTGGGCTCCGTGCGCGCTCGCGTCGCCGGGCTCCACGCACTGCTCCACCATCATGGCCGTGCCACAGGTCAGCGAGTTCCTCCTCGCCTTCGCTTGTCTCCATTTGTCTTCGGCAACGCTTGTGGTCTCACGATGGACAACGGGATGCGGCTGCTGCCTCATTCATTGGATGTAGATGCGTGGCTATTGTGTGCAGGGTAGTGCAGCGGTTTGTGCACTTCGCTACAAAGCCCAGTGGTACAAGTTTGATTTCCGCTCACATCGGTTATGAATATCTGAACCGGTCCAGGCCACCCCTAAGTCGGCACCTCGTGCTGTGTATAAACCACAACCACTGGGGAGACAGACGGCTGGGCATGATGCTGGCTACACCATCCCCGCCGTGTTGACCCAACAACCTGTGTAGGCTAACGTAAAATATTTGTCTTTGTGTGTTGTGTGTGTGAGTGTAGACTGCCATAAGGTTGGCTTGGTTGGCGCGGCCCCTGGACCCCCCGTGCTGCCAGACGGCTTCCTCGATATCCTCCGCACGGGGGTGCAGCCACAGTGAGTAGTGCGTGCGTGTTTGCCCATGTGTGTGCAGCTCGTACGTGAATGTGTGTGTAGGTGCGTGAGCATGTATTTGTGCGTATATGTGTGCGCGTCTGCGTAGTTATACATCGACCGTGTGTCTTTGTCCATGCTGTGCCCCTGGCCCACAGGACTGCACACTCGGAGAGCCTGCAGGCAATGCTGGCCACGTTCGGCACTGCCGTGTTCCGCGTGGGCCTCCGGGCCAACCCCAACGAGGCCGACCCGCGCATGGGCCCCGTAGCCTGGGGCACCGTCGCTTTCTCCATTCACGCCGTCGGTACGGCCCCCGTGCCCCTACCCTACCACCCCCCGCTCCACCGGCTAGGGCACAGCAAGGAATATGTGACCATAGAGCACATAGGGTTTTTTTGCTGAGCACAGGCCTGAGGCCCAAAATGCACAGCGACCAGAAACAAACAGCATCTAATTCAGCAGTTAATGTAATTCTTGCATTGAGCAAGGTTATACGATTTTGAGAAGAGATAATGGGAAGGAATTTCCAAGTGGAGCTGAGTGAGGGAAGAAGCATAAAGATAAGTGCGGTGACCTGCATTGTGATGGGGTGAGTGAGTGTGTGTGTTGTGACTTTCAGTGTGGTGAGTGGGTAATTGTGTAAGTGACTTTGTTGACCTGCAGTGTGCTGGTTGAACTCTGTGTGGTTGAGACCGAGTCCTCGGCACGGGTGGAGTACAGAGCTAACATGCCTGTGCCTCTGTGTGGCAGAGCGGTGCCTGCTTGAGGAGGGGAAGCCGCTCTTCGGGAGCCTCCCCCGGCGTCAGGACGACTGCTTGCGGGCGCTCACCGGATTCTCGGCAGCACAGAGGACGGTGCTGGAAACCAGCGTGCGGCACAGCCACGTGACGCAGCTCTTCTCGTGTACGCACCGTGCACAACCGCCACCGCTGCCGCACCCCCTCCCTGTCACTCCTCGTGTTGCCACCGCCGTGTTGGCACAAGCGCTCAACATGGACCCTGTCTCTTGCAGATCTCCTGCACGACCCGCAGCTTGCAGACAGCTCCCCGGCCATCCTCGACGTGGACATGTTTAGTTTGCTGGTGAGGTGTGCGTGCGTCACGTGCGCGCGCAAACCGAGAAGCTGCCTGGGATCTCGCGCCCCACTCGCTGTGGCCGAGTCGCAGAGCGCCACGCGTTTTGCCAACTTGTCCACCACAGGCTCAGGGCTGTAAACGGGAGGTGAACACCAATGCCCCAATGCAAATTTTTGCACCAGCAGGAACTGGCTCTAACTTTGATTTCCTCTCTCCGTCTAACCCAGGTGGGGCTCGTGCTGTGTGCGCCGGCGCTGTTCGCAAGCCCTGAAGCCGGGGGGCCCCAGCAGGAGCCCTCGGGCGTCGCCTCCGCACTTGCCGACCTGCACCTGCTGCACCTTGTCACCATGGCGACCGTTGCTCAGTTGCTGCTCACAGCCGGCGCCGACGAGACAGGTGCAGCCGCGGCGCCGGGGCCACGGCGACCGCATCGCGGCGCCGGGGGGACTCCACGCCAACGGTGCCGCATGTGCTAACGATGGTGTACTGTGCTGCTGGTGCAGATGAGCCCATGGACCAACAGAGCAACTGGGACTCGGAGGAGCTCCGCCGAGTATCCACGCTGCACCGCCAGCTGCTTGCCGCCAGGTAACCGCCGCCGCGCCGCTCACCTTCGGTGTCGTCTCCTACCATAAACAAGCGTGAGCGAGCTTGAGTGCCGCGCTGTGCCGTGTCCCCTGTGCGTGCTGGCGCAGCGGGGTCGCCGAGTGGGAGCCATCTCCGTGGCACCTGGTGCAGCGTGTGCGCGCCGGCGCTACCCCCTTCCTGCGCTGCTGTGCGCTGCTCTTCCACTACCTGCGCGGGACACCGGCACCCCCAGAGCTGCACGGTACATCGCAACGCGCGTCCCGTGACCTGGCGGCAATATACACGATGGCCTCAGATTGCACCTTGCTTGGCGCAAGCCCTAAGCCACGCTTAGTGGTGAACGGTGACTGTCTCCCCGGCCCTACTTGCAGCTCGCTCGCTGCTGTCCTGTCTCAGGTCATTGTTTAATTGTTTGCCGCAGCGAGTGTCGTGGACTCGGCGGTACGGTTAGTGCGGTTGCGGCGCCGCGCCTGCTCGTGACGATGAAACGCATGGCGCCGTCTTAACCGGCAACTTAACAAAAAACCTGGAGCCAAAAGCGGGAGGGTAAGTTGCCGTGCCCTAGGCGACAGCACCCCTCACCTAACTGTGCATGCGTGTTTGTGTGCGGGCTTGCAGCGGCGTGCCCGGCGCAGTTCGAGGTACTATGCCGTTACCTCTCTCTGCCAGTGAACCTCGCCGCACTCTTCACCACGCACGAGGGCGTGGCCACCGAGCTCCTGCACAGGTCAGTTGGAGGACTGAACAGGGGGCCCTGTAATTTGCTGGTTGAGCAGGGGGCTCGGGGTATGGGGGTAGAGGCTGGCGGGTGATCGCTCAGAACGCGATCTGGCACGAGACGTTAATCGATTCGGTTCATCGACCACAAGTGACAATCGGCCACTTTTGGTCCAGTGACATCCCATCCAGCGGCATATGTACGAATATTTGGCGAGACCTTTTTCCAACTATTTTCATGTTATCCCATTGGTTGAGTAATGGAACTGACAATCGGTAGAAAAGTCTATGGCTTAAGTCACGAGAAATTCCAGCTTTGCCTGTGACTCCTGGGTGCGGTGCGGTGAGCAGATGGTGCGGGCACGGCGCCGTGCGTGCTGCTCTGCGCGGGGAGAGGCGAGTGGTGCAGTAAGTCTCGCCGTGCGAACACACGCTCATCGCCAACACAACCGCACAGCGGCGCACTCACCACCAGCACAACCACACTCGTCGCTGTTACATCGCGGACGTTGAGTACTCGTGGTGCGTCGGGCTTCTGCTTGGTCTGTCGTGGCAATTAATGAAGTTCCCAGAGGGAGGTCGATCAATGCAACCCGAATACCGCCAGCTACACTCCGCTGCACACGGGCGCCCTTCGTATGCAGCGGGGGCCGGTGGGGCACCTCGCTCACCGCCACACACCGTCGCGCGTGTGTAGGTGTCTGCCGGAGCTGAGCCGCCTGGTGCCGCTTCCGGAAGACTACAGCGAGCTCATCAACCAAGCATCGCGCTTCACGTGAGCCCCACACCCCCAAACCATGAGCATGATATATAATTTATGTATTAGTTGTACCGCTAGACCTCCCATACAGCACGCCTAGAGGTGGCCGAGTGACGAGGGGGAGGTGTGGGTGTTGCAAATGCAATGCGCGAAAACAATGCAGCAGAGACCGTGCATAATACACAATTGCCAATAAAGTTTAAAAGTTTAACTCTTTGCTTAAGACCACTCTCTTTTGTCCACTTCATTTGAGTTGTCTCCTACGTTTCTGCAGTGTGTCTCCCGTGTGTCTTCTCTGTGTCTCCGCATTGTCTCCCCCGTGTCTTGGGTGGTGATATGGCTTAATGGTAACGTGTTCGACGCGTGTTGCAGAGGTTCACGTATAGAATTCAGCGACCAACCTAGTTAATACCCCGGTGTGTATTAACCGTAAATATCCTACTCGCCATCAACTTCACAGTGAGCGTTAGAGTTCCCGTGACATAATTCGCAAGAGTAGCCCATTATTTGCGTACGTCATCGTTCAAATTTGAAAAAAATTACCCACAAATTACTTGATTGGAATCATATAAACTATTGCCCCGTATTACGAAAACATTGCAGGACCTTCCTTGAAAACAGTCGTGAGATTCGGTTTCCTGGGTAAACAGGCAGAATCATACAATAATGTTTTTGGTTGTTGTCCCTCTGGTGGTGTGTGCGCACCGGTGGCTTTGTGCACCTCGGTGTGGCGTGCAGGTGTCCTCGCCTGGAAGGGGACGAGTCCCGCGCGCCCATCATGTGCCTGGTGTGTGGCACCATGCTGTGCTCGCAGAGCTACTGCTGCCAGAGCGAGCTGGACGGCGAGGACGTGGGCGCGTGCACTGCACACACCTACACTTGCGGCGCTGGCGTCGGCATTTTCCTACGGTAATAAGCGTGGGGATCCCCCCCCCCCCCCACCAGGACCCCACCCCCCAGAGGGGGCCAAGGCCCGTGGTGCGAGTTCTGAATGCGTGAGGAGCGAGCGGCACCTGCGTGACTGTGGCACTCTGGTTAGACCTTTTGTGTCTGGCTGTGCAGGAGCGGTAGTACAGTTGCGCTACGAACCCGGCGACCGGAATTCAATTCCCACTCAAGGCCTACACCAGTGACGACGATTATCTGAACCGGTCCTGAGCCTCTCCTCGGTTGACTAAGCCTTTGAGTACCTTGTGCGCTGTGTAAAATCATCAGCTTCAGGGAAACAAAGGCGGCCGGACGTGGTGTTTTCCACCCACCCCCTCGTGTGCTTTGCCCGTCATCATAGGTTCTGGTCGCGAACAGCGCTTGTCCCAAAAGTCTGTTGAAGGCTACACGGGGGATCTTTCTGTGTGCAGGGTGCGCCTCTGCCAGGTGCTGCTGCTGTCCGCTAAGACCAAGGGCTGCTACTATCCCCCGCCGTACCTCGATAACTACGGCGAAACCGACGTGGGTCTCAAGTGAGTCCTGCTCTGCACGACCCCTCCTCCTCCTCTTCTTCCTCTTGCCTCATCTTCCTTCCTTGTTTGTGTATCGTGGCAGCAGAAGGAACTGGGCCTTGTGCGTGTGTGGCGATGCGAATGATGAGTTTAAGTGGCTCACTTAGCCATCTGTCGATGAGCTCACCGTGAGTGCACGGCCTGTGGTTTGACTGCAGAGCATCATCACTGCAGCGTGACGCCCGCAGTGTGCAGAGTGGACGAACAGCACTGTCACAGTTGCATTAGATAAAAAATGAAACGTGTTTCTTATTTCAGCAAGGGTATTATTGTAAGAGCTTGGGAAAAGAGATATGATGGGAGGGAATTCCGAAGTGGAGCAGTGCGAGGTGACCTGTAGTGTGGCGGTTGAACACCGGGTGGGTGAGACGAAATAGTAGAGTAGGGTAGAGTAGGAATCAATAAGTGAAATTCACAGGAACTGTAACCATAGTAGTAGCAATAGAAGAGCGATAAGGAGGTGAATGACCACCAGTGAGAGTTAAACCTTGTGTGTGTTCCTACTGGTATCGGACTCTCACCAAACTAGCCGAACCACCTCGCCCCACGGTATTCCAATGACCCTTAGCATCGATCATGTCTCTCAATTTCTCTCTTGGTCTTTCTCTTTTCCGTGTTTTTCTCTCTCTCACTTCCAGTTCACTGCCCGTTTCAAAATGTGGTTCTCAATAACGTCACTGCTCTGCCGCCTGGTTGAACGCATGCGTCTGAATGGGTTTGCTTGTTGGCCGTGTGTCCACTAGGCGCGGGAACCCGCTGCACCTGTGCCCCGAGCGCTACATGCGACTCCAGCGGCTGTGGCAGCAGCATGGCGTCGCCGAGGAGATTGGCCACGCGCAGGACGCAAACCAGTCCTACACCAGCATCGACTGGCAGCAGATGTAGGTCACGCCGCACCGTGACTGCCGGCACGGGGCGATCATTTGTTCTATTGCGGTGGAGCTGGCGGCGACTCCGCGTAAGGAAGCGATGGGATCCTCTGGTTTTGAATTAAACGCGTTGCACCGTAAAATAATTGCGATGTCTTTGCGTGGCACACAATGGCTCCCCGAGCGAAGAGAATGCACGGCGAGGGGGCGCATCGGCGCTCCCGTGACCGGGCATCTCTGGATCTTCACGGCCACTGGTGGGGAAGGCGGATGTCCGCAGCGTGTTACGGGTTTCGAGCTTAGGCATCCGCGTGGTGGTGGCGGTGGTGATGGCGGCCGAGGCGTGAGCACTTTAAACAGAGCGGCACGATGTTGACGCGACCGTGAGAAGTGGCACTGTAGAGGGGGGTGGGGGGTGTGTGTGCGGGTGAGAACAAGAGCCTGCGGACGCTGGACAACCATTCTGCATCCACGGATCCCCCCCTCTCTCCAAACGAACCTTGCTGTGCCTCGTGACCACATTGGGGCCCAAATCCGCCCGGGGTGCATGCTCTCCCTGTGTATGGTGGTGTCAACATGCAGACGTGTACCCGCGCGTGTTCTGCTTTTGCGTGTACACGGGTTGAATGTACTATATTGTAGCATACAACAATAAAGCATTATCGCCCATCAGAGTGCCTGACTGCTACCGTGGTGGTGAGGCTGGTGCAGACTGAGTTGTTGCCCTCCGCCAGCCGAACTCTGGCCGTGTAACGAGAGCTGGAGCAGTGCGTTGAGGGGCATGGCTGTGAGTGTGCGTTGGGTCGCGCTGTGGAGGCTGCTGCCGCATCTGTCAACCCGGCACTCGGCGTTAGGAGGCACTGGGTCAACAGGCCCTTCCACGGAGTTGCCAACTCGGCGATTGTGTTGCTCAACCTGAGCGTCGACAAGTCGAGTGACGTCCTCGTTCTCACGGGCGTCCTGGATGGTACCTGACGCACGCATCGTAAACACGTAAGGACACGTGTACACGCATCTTAACTCTGTTGGTGTGCATGTGCACAATTAATATACGCAGCCAAATCTACTCGCAATGGGTCGCGGGTTTTTACTCGTCTTCAATCGCCATTGTAGGCACTCCGCGCGAGGCGATCTACTTGGTCCACTGACAGTGGGGGTTACGTGTCAATGTTAAGCACAAAAACTCTGGAACTTGCAAATTCTTGCTGCCCCATATCATTAAATCCAGTCACTGTAATTCTTTAGGACCCAAATCAACAAAATTGGTATTCAGGTTTTTCCAGTTGTAAGCGGAGTGGACGATGTGGTAAGTTTGAGCTCTCTACGTCAACAGGAATGACATCGGTAGAAGACACCGTGCTCTGCACTCCGGCTGAACGATTAATCGATTTCAAATGGAAATCGCAATTTGAAACAATGCGATTAGCAAATCGCAAAGGCTGCGATTTGAAAAGTCCTATTACTTATTGGAATTGTAAATTTTTTTTATTATAACTTAACAATTCTATATTTGATTGTTCTATTTCAATTTAAAAAAAAACATTTTAATAAATACATGTTGGAAGCAATTCATATTTTAAGTTCTCATCCTTGCATTAGAATATATAGAGCAGTTCAAATTTTGATGTTATGTGGTAATGCTCCATCACATGTTTACAAATTATTATCCGGTGCATATTGAACTGAAGCTTGACTTGAATCGGAAATCAAATCGCAATATCTGTCAGAAAAATCGCAATGAGATATTTTCCCCAAATCGTTAAGCCCGACTCTGCACTCGAGTGTTGTAAAACTCCAGAGGTTGATGCGCGACAATGACAAAGTCACCCTGCAATGCGCCCGACTTCGCCCGATGTCGGAAGCTGAGCAGGTATTGACCATAGATTTTATTATAAAACGTTAAGCAGCCAGCAACAAACAGCACGATCAAACTTGTCAGATAACAGGTCACGTTGACTAATATGGGGGGGGGGGATACGATGGGGGGGGATACGATGGGAAGGAATTCCAAAGTGGAGCAGTGGCGAAGGAAGAAGCTGGAAGAGAAGTGAGGTGAGTGAGACGGTGAGTCGGCTGTGTGTGGCAAGGCGAGCGAGTTGTTGTGGCCTGCAGTGTGTGGTGGCCGATCACTGGGATGAGACGAAACGGCCTGGATGAGATGACATGCACAGCTGGCCACGTGCGCAGCTGGTGCCGCTATGGTGCATCGTGGGCAGTGCAGCAAAATACGCGTAAAAATGTTCTTGCTGTGGTTGTCACAGCTGATGACGATTGCTTGTGTTTCAATCGAAACGTGATTTTTAAAAAAAATTCACCTACGTTACTTTACCGAAAGAACCAAAGAATATGGATCCTTGCAGTCACGAAAACTTCAAATCTAGAAAAATTCGCGTGTTTGGTCCTGGATACTGCTCGGCCGCCACGGCCGTGCGCTGCTGCGTGGTGGGAGCATCTCGAACGACCCCCACGACCCGCATTGCGTATGGAGCACGCAGCCAGCAGTGGGTTGACCAAGGGCTGTTGGCATGTGCAACACAGGTGACGCAACCGTGGTTTGGAATGGGCGGACTTGTTCAGACAGCCTGCCCGTTGTTGAGCATGGGGCAGCCTCGCTCTGGCAAACAGTCATCACTGGTGCCTGCCCTGGGGGCCCAGGTGCAGTGTGTGCAGGTCGGGGTGAGGTGCGGGGGGTGGTCTCTGCGTCTATTGGAGTCCCTGCGTTTACAGGGGTCCCAGGCTCTCCCGTCACTTTTTTGGACCCTTTGGCCTCCGTCCCTACCGAGACCCCCGTGTCTTCTCCCACCCTCGTCCCCACCACCACCACGACCACCTTTGCATTCATCTCGGGGCCCCTGTGACCATCCTCAGGCCCAGTGTCCCCTCCCCCCCCTCGACCCCTCCCGGGGCCCCGTGTCCACCCCCCCTCGACCCCCCCCCCTCGACCCCTCCCCCTCGACCCCTCCCCCTCGACCCCTCCCGGGTCCCCTTGTCCACCCCCCCCCTCGACCCCTCCCCCTCGACACCTCCCGGGGCCCCGTGTCCACCCCCCCTCGACCCCTCCCCCTCGACCCCTCCCCCTCGAACCCTCCCGAGTCCCCTTGTCCACCCCCCCCTCGACCCCTCCCCCTCGACCCCTCCCGGGGCCCCGTGTCCACCCCCCTTCGACCCCTCCCCCTCGACCCCTCCCCCTCGACCCCTCCCGGGTCCCCTTGTCCACCCCCCCTCGACCCCTTCCCCTCTAACCCCCCCGACCCGCCGCGGCCCCTCTACCCCCCCCCCCACCACCCCCACCCCCCACCCCCGGCCCCTCTACACCCCCCCCCCACCACCCCCACCCCCACCCCCGGCCCCTCTACCCCCCCCCCCCACCACCCCCCACCCCCGGCCCCTCTACACCCCCCCCACCACCCCCACCCCCGGCCCCTCTACCCCCACCCACATCCCCACCACCCCCACCCCCGGCCCATCTACACCCCACCACCCCCACCCCCCACCCCCGGCCCCTCTACCCCCCCCCCCCACCACCCCCACCCCCCACCCCCGGCCCCTCTACAACCCCCCCCCACCACCCCCACCCCCACCCCCGGCCCCTCTACCCCCACCCACCCCCCCACCACCCCCACCCCCACCCCCGGCCCCTCTACCCCCCCCACCACCCCCGGCCCCTCTACCCCCCCCCCCCACCACCCCCACCCCCCACCCCCGGCCCCTCTACACCCCCCCCCCACTACCCCCACCCCCACCCCCGGCCCCTCTACCCCCACCCACCCCCCCACCACCCCCACCCCCCACCCCCGGCCCCTCTACCCCCACCCACCCCCCCACCACCCCCACCCCCACCCCCGGCCCCTCTACCCCCACCCACCCCCCCACCACCCCCACCCCCACCCCCGGCCCCTCTACCCCCCCCCCACCACCCCCGGCCCCTCTACCCCCCCCCCTCGACCCCTCCCCCTCGACCCCTCCCCCTCGACCCCTCCCGGTCCCCTTGTCCACCCCCCCCCTCGACCCCTCCCCCTCGACACCTCCCGGGGCCCCGTGTCCACCCCCCCTCGACCCCTCCCCCTCGACCCCTCCCCCTCGACCCCTCCCGAGTCCCCTTGTCCACCCCCCCTCGACCCCTCCCCCTCGACCCCTCCCGGGGCCCCGTGTCCACCCCCCTTCGACCCCTCCCCCTCGACCCCTCCCCCTTGACCCCTCCCGGGTCCCCTTGTCCACCCCCCCTCGACCCCTTCCCCTCTAACCCCCCCGACCCGCCGCGGCCCCTCTACCCCCCCCCCCACCACCCCCACCCCCCACCCCCGGCCCCTCTACACCCCCCCCCCCCACCACCCCCACCCCCGGCCCCTCTACCCCCCCCCCCCACCACCCCCACCCCCCACCCCCGGCCCCTCTACACCCCCCCCCCACCACCCCCACCCCCGGCCCCTCTACCCCCACCCACATCCCCACCACCCCCACCCCCGGCCCCTCTACACCCCCCCCCCCACCACCCCCACCCCCGGCCCCTCTACCCCCCCCCCCCCCCACCACCCCCACCCCCGGCCCCTCTACCCCCCCCCACCACCCCCACCCCCCACCCCCGCCCCTCTACACCCCCCCCCACCACCCCACCCCCACCCCCGGCCCCTCTACCCCCACCCACCCCCCCACCACCCCCACCCCCACCCCCGGCCCCTCTACCCCCCCCACCACCCCCTGCCCCTCTACCCCCCCCCCACCACCCCCACCCCCCACCCCCGGCCCCTCTACACCCCCCCCCCCCACTACCCCCACCCCCGGCCCCTCTACCCCCACCCACCCCCCCCACCACCCCCACCCCCCACCCCCGGCCCCTCTACCCCCACCCACCCCCCCACCACCCCCACTCCCACCCCCGGCCCCTCTACCCCCACCCACCCCCCCACCACCCCCCACCCCCGGCCCCTCTACCCCCCCCACCACCCCCGGCCCCTCTACCCCCCCCCCCACCACCCCACCCCCCCACCCCCGGCCCCTCTACACCCCCCCCCCCCACTACCCCCACCCCCACCCCCGGCCCCTCTACCCCCACCCACCCCCCCACCACCCCCACCCCCGGCCCCTCTACCCCCCCCCACCACCCCCGGCCCCTCTACCCCCCCCCCCACCACCCCCACCCCCCACCCCCGGCCCCTCTACACCCCCCCCCCCACTACCCCCACCCCCACCCCCGGCCCCTCTACCCCCACCCACCCCCCCACCACCCCCACCCCCCACCCCCGGCCCCTCTACCCCCACCCACCCCCCCACCACCCCCACTCCCACCCCCGGCCCCTCTACCCCACCCACCCCCCCACCACCCCCACCCCCGGCCCCTCTACCCCCCCCCACCACCCCCGGCCCCTCTACCCCCCCCCCCCACCACCCCCACCCCCCACCCCCGGCCCCTCTACACCCCCCCCCCCACTACCCCCACCCCCACCCCCGGCCCCTCTACCCCCACCCACCCCCCCACCACCCCCACCCCCCACCCCCGGCCCCTCTACCCCGGCCCCTCTCGGGCTGCAGGGGGCGTCGTGAGGCCGTGAGGGCCCCGCGTCCTCGGCTCTGCCTCTGCGCATCTCGGCGCGGCGCCCGCCATGAGTGGGGCCACGCGCAGCGGCCTCGACATCTCGAGGCGGAATCCCCAGGACGACTTCGAGATCATCCAGAGGATCGGCAGCGGAACCTATGGCGACGTCTACAAGGTGAGGGGCGCCCGGGGGCACTCCGCGGTCTCCCGCGGGGGGCGGTGACCGCGGACCCGGGCGGAGCCGCTAGGACAGAGCGAGGCTTTGCGGCCTCGGGCCCCGTCTACCCCGATAGCCACGACGTCTGTCTGCCTGTCTCCTCGCTTCGCTGTCTGCCTGTCCCCTCGCTGTCTCCTCTAGACCCTCTGTCTCGTCGTCTTGCTGTGGACAGATGTCTCTCTCTCTTTGTGTATCTTCTTGCCTGCCCCCCCCCCCCGTCTCAGTGTCTCCCTGCCCCCCCGTGTCTCTGTGTTGTCTATCGCCTGCCTCACTCACCATGTCTCTTCTTCACTGTCTGTCTGCTTCTCCGCCTCCCCGTCTTCTTGCTTGGCTCCCTGCCCCCAATGTCTCCTCGTCTGTCTCCCTGAGACCTTGTTTCTGTGAATGTCTCCTCGAGTCTCTGCCCGTCTCTACCTCCCTGTCGTCTCGTCTCTGTGTCTCCTGATCTCGTCTCTGTGTCTCATGATCTCTCGTCTCTGTGTCTCCTGATCTCTCGTCTCCGTCTCTCCGCTTATCGTTGCCTCCGTGTCTCCTCCTGTCACCACGATGTCTCTGCGCCCTGAGGTCTGGAAGCCGCCGCCAATGCCGAGGACATGGGTTTGACTCCGTATGGGGGGGAACCCGTGTTAGTGTGTTCAGTTATTTCCATGTGTTTGTGTTTCCTGCAGAGTGCGACTGTTACGTGTTTTTCTGCCCATGTCTGTACTTGTTTGTCTTTACCGAGTCTATGTTTACGTTTGTGTGTGTGTGTGACTGTGTATGTTATGTATGTTATGTCCGTGGGAATTGGTGGTGTAGCGGTTAGCGCGCAGCGCTACGAATCTGGCGACTCGGGTTCGATTCCCGCTCACGGCAAACACCGGTGACGATTATCTGAACCGGTCCTGGTCCTCCCCTAGGTCGACTCAACCTCAAATCAGTACCTGGTGCGATGTGTAAACATTGCCGCTAGGGAGACAAAGACGGCCGGGCGTGGTGTTGGCCACCCACCCCCTCGTGTGCCGTGCTGGCCTTTATAGGTGCTCGCTAACTGCACTTGCCCCTACAGTTTGTTAAGGCTATACGGGGATCTTTGTCTTTGTTATGTGTCCGTGTCTCTTTGTGTTTGTCCGTGTGTGTCTCTGTCTGTGCCTCAATGTGCGTCTGTCCCTGAGTGTCTGTCCCTGTGTGGCTGGGTGTGTCTGTCCCTGTGTCTGGGTGTCTGTCCATGTGTATATAAGGCAACTGAATGGGGTGTCAGCCGCACCAGCCCCTTCATGTGCCTTTCTGACATCAACAGGTGCTTGATAACAACACTTGTCCCTATTATATAAGACGATGTGTGGTTCTGCGTGCGTATATGTGTGTATGTGTGTATATATTTATGTGTGCGTATGTTTGCGTCTGTGTGTGTATTCATGTGCGTGTGTGTGTCTGTATTAATGTGTGTCTGTGCTTGTATGTGTACATTCCAGGCGAGGAACATGCGTTCGGCAGACCTGTCAGCGATTAAAGTCATCAAGTTGGAGCAGGGTGAGGCTGCCCGTTTGCCCTGCTGCCCACATCTCACTCCTGCTGCCTCGTGCTTCCCAATTCTACCCCGTGCTTCCCACTTCTGCCCGTGTTTTCCCTCCTTCACGTGACTTCCTCCTCCTACCCGCACTTCCTCCATCTATGAGACCCGCACCGTACCCCGGCCCCCGCCATCCTCTGGAGGCCCAGGAGCCATCACCCACATTCCTCAGCTGCTGTCAGTCACGTTATCGGCACAAGTGGAGGGCCAGCCCGGGGCCGGTGGGCTGCAGCCACCCTGGGCAGGTGTGGCCGGGATGGCGTGCGGCAGGTGACACCGCTCGCTGCCCCGGCATTCCTCCTGGGTGCTCGGAATAGCGCGGGGCCGCGGGGCCCGTCCCTGGAGGAGGGAGGAATGAGCGAGGAATGCGGCTGGCGTGCGAGCGATCAGATGTCGTGGATGCTGCGTAACCACGGCGGACGAGTCACTGCGGCGGCATGACTGCGTTTGCCCTGAGCCGGGTTCTGTTTAGTATGGGGGAGGGGGGTGGGGGTCCTGGGGTGGGGCAGGGGTCCCGATTACCACTCAGGGCAGAAATGAGAATGACATGCGGTCCACAAGGAGGTGCGAATGGCTCCACCGCCATAGCACGCAGGCGTGAGCTGGGGCCTGGGCGAGGCTGCGAACCCGCGTTGTTGCCGAGCCCTTCCCGCGAGACGCGTCGCTCTGTGTTCCGCTCCGTGTCCTCTGCCGGGTGCTGCAGGAGATGACTTTGCCGTCATCCAGCAAGAGATCATCATGATGAAGGAGTGCAAGCACCAGAATATCGTCGCATACTTCGGCAGTTACCTGAGGTGGGTGCTGACTGGCGCAGCCCCACAGCTGACTGGCTGGCACTTGAGCACCACCGCCTGTGCCTCAAGAGTAGAGTGAATTAGCAGTGTGTCTGAGCTGTGTGTGTGAGTGGTTTACGTGGGAGCAGTGTGTGTGTGAGCGGTGTCTGAGCGGTGCGTGTGAGCAGTGTGCATGTGTACGTGAGCGGTGCGTGTGAGCAGTGTGCATGTGTATGTGAGCGGTGTGTGAGCAAGCGGCCATGTGTGCTGTGCTGGTGGTGCAGGCGTGACAAGCTGTGGATTTGCATGGAGTACTGTGGGGGAGGCTCTCTACAGGACATTTACCATGGTGAGCCACACAACGACTGGTTCTTGCGCTGGGACGTGTGTTCATTTAAAGTCCACTGGACTTGACACGGTGCGTTATCCCGACACCTGTGTTGGTTTCCAGTGACCGGACCTCTGCTGGAGCCACAGATCGCCTACATGTGCCGGGAAACGCTGCAGGTTGGACACATGCGAGCACAGTGGCACAAGCACACATATACAAAAGACAAAGACACGTACAAAGATCCCCCGTATAGCCTCAACAAACTTTTGGGGCAAATGAGACCCAGTGAGAGTAGTTTTCGAAAACTGAACTTGGTCATGAAAAAAAACACAGCAATGTGCCTAGAGTGAAGGTTTTCAATCAGTGCATTATGCTACCTGCCGTGACGTATGGATTAGAAACGTGGACATTAATTACGTACGTGTGCGAAGAAGCACGGAGAGGTGAATGTTGGAGTTCTACTGAGACCCAGAAAGGGGAACTCCCATTAAGGGAACAAACACAAATCACAGATGTCACACTAGCCAGTTAGTAGGGGAAGTGGGTTCAGACAGGAAGCTTCGAGGTGAGAATGGGGTCGGTGACGAGGCTGGTGATGGAATCGCAGACAAAGGGGAACGCGTTCGAAAGGATGAGCACCATGGAGACGGAGCGATGAAATCATCAGCCCATGTGCAGGAATGAGATAGATTGTGGCATCACAGAACCGTGAGAGATGGCGACGACTTTGGGGAGGCCTTCGTCCAGCAGTGGATAGACCCTGGCTTTTGATGAAGATGCTGTGTGTGGATCCCATGGCCACTACCCCGCCGTGTGTTGACGATTGATCGGAGAAGGAAGCGTTGAACGCGGGCTCACGGCGCTCATGGTTGTGTCATTGTGTGCGCTGCAGGGCCTCGCGTACCTGCACAGTCGTGGAAAGATGCACCGCGATATCAAGGTAGGCTAAACGCACGCGCAATTCATAATTTCCACAGCACCTCCGTGTGCCTGCAGAGCGTGCAGTGCATGGTTGATGGTCTCCATGCGCAGTTTCCCGCTGTGGGGCGGTGACGCGGCCCAGCAGTAGCTCGTTTGCTGCAGAGGTTCGCAGTTTGATTCGGGCAGGTTACCCTTGTTAATACTGCGGTGTGTAGCAACCGTAAAGTACTATGCACTGTCTGCTTCACAGGGGACGTAAAAGATCGCGTGACATCATTCAAAGAAAAGTTGTCCATTTTGTGCCAGTGTCAAGGAACCTAATTTGCCAAATTAAAAAAATTACACTGCCAATTGCTCAATTGGAAAATGCAGAGTCCTTGCCTTTGAATGCAAGAACTCGGCAGGACCCTCCTCAAACCTCTTGAGACTCAGCGGGCTTTGTTGGGTAACTGAACGTAATTGCAATGACAGTGTCGGTCCACCAGAGTAATGCCGTGTGTCTCCGTGCATCCTCCTGCAGGGAGCCAACATCCTCCTCACGGACCATGGGGACGTCAAGCTGGGTGAGGAGGCTTTGCCCCTGTGCCCCCCACACCCCTGTGCCCCCCACACCCCTGTGCCCCCACTCGCACTGGGACTGGCCACACGTGACTGTTTTTCTCTGTTTGTGTTCAGCTGATTTTGGAGTTTCGGCACAAATAACTGCGACGATTGCCAAAAGGAAATCCTTCATCGGCACGCCGTACTGGTGAGCAGCGTGCCCCGGCCAAGGCCAGGCCTCCCTGGGGCCCTCGCTAGACCCGGCTGTTTATGTTTTGAGAAGGCATGCATGCATTTTGACTGTACACGTGTGTGTGTGCGCTAGTGTTTAACTGTGGGGAGCGGTAGTGTAGTGGTAGTGTAATGTAGTGGTTAGCACGCTGCGCTACGAACCCAGCGACCCAAGTTCGATTCCCGCTCACAGCCAACACCAGTGACGATTATCTCAACTGGTCCTGGGCCTCCCCTAGGTCGACTCAGCCTCAAATTAGTACCTGCTGCGGTGCGTAAACATCGCCACTGGGGAGACAAAGGTGGCCGGGCGTGGTTTCTGGCTACCCCACCCCCTTGTGTGCCGTTCCGGCCTTCATAGGTGCTCGCTAACAGCACTTGCCCCAACAGTCTGTTAAGGCTATACGGGGGATATTTGTCTTTGTTCAACTGTACATGTGGCTGTGAGTTAGGGTGCAGTGGCGCTGTTGTCGCACTGTGCTATGACCCTGGCAACCTGAGTACGATTTCAGTTCATGGCCAAGATCGGTGAGGAATAGCTTCGCCTTAAATTATACCTGGTGTGGTGTGTTAACATCACCAGTGGGGAGACTAATTGTGCTGGCCACCCACCCCCTCGTGGGATGTGCCGGCCTTCATAGGTGCTCGACAACAGTCTAGCTGTATATTTGCATGTGCGTAACGCAGAGTAAGTGTAGGTGCTTGTGTGCATAGTTGGTGATGTGTAGGTGTTGTGGTTGATGGTGTAGCAATGTTTGGGGTGCGGCTGATATGCGTGCCATTCATGCGGGTGGGTGTTGGTTTGGCGTGTAGCCATTGTGGGTGTTGCTGTGATAATGTATTTGGATGTCGCCGTAATGTGCTGCTGCTGTAATGATGGTGTGTGTGTGTTGCTGCAATGATGCAGGATGGCACCAGAGGTGGCGGCCGTGGAGAGGAAGGGCGGCTACAACCAGCAGTGCGACGTGTGGGCCGTGGGCATCACCGCCATCGAGCTCGCCGAGCTGCAGCCGCCACTCTTCGACCTGCACCCCATGAGGTACCAAGCCCCACCCCACCCCCACCCCACCCCCGCCACCACCGGCCACCCGTAGTTATCCCAGGTGACCCCTGGCGTGTGATTGGGTTAGAGGCCGACCGAAATTCGGTTTCGGTTTCAGCGCCGAAAGTTGGCAATTGGCCACTTTCGGCAGACTTTCGGTTTTGGCTGAAAGTAAATTTTTTAACTTTCGGTTTCGGCCGAAAGTCAATTTTTTACTTTCGGTCTGGTTTCGGTTTCGGCTGAAACTGATATTGACTTTCGGTCGTCAACCGAAGATCTATTTTTAGAATATAACGCGAGTACTAAGTCTATCAGCCGGTCAGTCGGGGGATCTTTGTCTTTAGCCTGTGTGTGTGGGGGGCGGGGCAGCGACTGCGTAGCGATTCGCGCGCTGCGCTACGAACTCGGCGGCCTGAGTTCGATTCCCGCTCACGGCCGGTGACGATTATTTGAACCGGTCCTGGGCCTCCCCTAGGTCGACTCAGCCTCAAACGAGTAAGTGGTGTGGTGTGTCAGCATCGCCACTGGGGAGACAAAGGCGACCGGCCGTGGTGAATCCAAGTCCCGGGCGAAGCCGGGTAGTAAAGCTAGTACAGTATTTCATAAATCTTGTGTTCGTTAACTTCGGTTATATACCTTTCTGTTTCGGTTTCGTCCGAAAGTGAAGTTAAACTTTCGGTTTCGGCTTCGGTTTCGGCCGAAAGTCAATTTTATCTTTCAGTCTGGTTTCGGTTTCGGCCTAAACCAGAAATTCAGTTTTGGTCGGCCTCTAGATTGGGTTGTGATCGTGATGTCTTTTGTGGTTCTGTTCCTCTCCAGGGTTCTCTTTCTCATGTCAAAGAGTGGCTACCAGCCGCCGAAACTAAAGGACAAGGGTCGCTGGTAAAGTCCTTGCCATCTCTACAGCAGTGTCACTCATCGCAAACACGCACTCAGGCACACTCTCGTTGCACACAAAAACAACGATTCTCCATATAGCCTTAACATACTGTTGGGGCAAGTGCTGTTAGCGAGCACCTTGCACACACTCTCCCCACACTCTCACACACTCTCTCTCCACACACACCCTTTACACACATTCACATACTCTCCCCACACTCTCACACACTCTCCCTGCACTCACACACACATATACTCAACATTGCATCAATGTTTATTCAACGTGTGTATAAATTGGTGTGTATCATAGAGATGTGTATAAAACCAAGACCCATATCTAACACAGAGGATCCTTGCCTATGAACATCTGGCAGTTCACCAATATTGGTTCAATCAAGCCTGACTCTGTTGATGAGATATTGAATGTATGTATTTATGTTGAACTTCTTTCGCACCGTATTCTGGTTCATTTGTGGAAATGAGCATGACCATATAATATATTAATTCGGCAAGCGGAAGTCAATGCAGCTGGACAAGCACTGGGCGGACATGGTCGGATCTTGCAGTACGACATGTGCCAAAGAATTGTGTACACGCTACAGCTTGGTTATGTTTTTGCCAGACTTTCCATACAGTTGTGAGTTGCAATAATTGAGCCTTGTCAATACGACGCTACATGGCAACGTGTTGCCTTTGCCACGACTCAATCGTGGTTGAATGTTTCGTAGAGCCCTGAAAAACAAATTGCAGGACCTTACTATATTTTGCACATGGTCATACAATTACATTCTAGTCTTTAGATGAGTAGAAAATGTAATCTTGAAGTCTGTGACCATCACACCTGATCCTCCCACATTTTTTTCCCTGAACCTGAGTGCCAACCAGCAGAACCTTCGAATTTTCTGGATTAAGCAATCTTCAAGGTTACCAAGGCTCTCCATATCTTACTTTTACTTTACTGCAGGTGTGCAATTGTGTATCATCGGCATTTTTATGGAACTTGTTGTCATGCGATGAGATGACATTGGCGATCGTAGAGATGCATGTCGAAACCAATCCAGAGTTTTCTTGCATTCAACCAATACTAAAGGAAATTCACTTCAAGTTTTTTGTGGAGACAAGCGGTACGATGAGCGGTTGAGAATCGGTCTGGGGTCATGGTTCATACTCTTTGGGTTTATTTTTCTTTTCGGTAAAGTCACGTAGGTAACATTTTTTATTAAATAAATGAAAACTAAATTAAATCACGACGTTTCGGGCACAACACAAGCGTCCTTCAGGTGGGGACAACGTAGCGAAAGCACAACCGCTTAAGTGTGTCTAAGAGATGGCTGTGACGAGGAATTATATCGTCGCGGGGGATGGAGGGAGGGGAGGGGCCATGGTGAGTGTGTGGGCGGGCTGTGGACTGGGAGGCAACGTTGTGAAGCACGGGGCGGGGGGGCGCTGGGAGGCAACGCATGGAGTTCAAACTGAAGCTTTGTGATGCAGGGGGCAGAAGTAGATAAGAAAGCTAAGATTAAGCAGCCTTTTGTTATGCTGCCGGGGGGGTAAATTAGAAATGCGCAATATGAAAAACAACGTGTGGTAATGGTGGTGATGGTAGTGTGTGAAGCTGGGGTAACAGACTGAAAATATGGATTTGGTTTCAACATCGAAAGCGCACAGCTTAAATCTGTAGAGTTGCTGAGCCCGGCGGTCATCGCTGATGCGTTCCGTGCCAGGATTATGCAGTTGTTGAGTTTGGCGCCATTGCAGGACGGTGCTGCCCCCTGTTGGCTGCTCCCATGACCATGCAGCTCCCCTGATGGCGCGGACAGCGTGACGGCTCGGGTCGCGTGACGGCGAGGCGGCTGTGTGCCTGTGTGCAGGTCGCCCGTCTTTCACAACTTCATCAAGCTGGCGCTCACCAAGAACCCCAAGAAGCGGCCCGCGGCGGAGAAGCTGCTTACGGTAAAGCCGATGTCACACGGGGGCGGCACACGGGGCCGGGAGGGCACTTGCCGTGGCGGCGGCGCAGAGCTGATGGGATGCGCGCGGTGTGGTGTGTGCGGTGTGTGCGGTGTGTCGCGTTGTGCGGGTACAGCACGCTTTCTTCCAGCAACCACTGAACCGCGCACTGGCGCTGGAGCTGCTGGAGAGAGCTAGCAACCCCGAGCAGCACCACACGGCACAGAGCGCGTCTGATCAGGACGACGAGGACGCTGAGGTGCCGCGCTCACCGCACACTCTCCGCATGCGCCACGCACACAGCCTTGTACCCCCCACCACTACCAGGTCCCTTACACTCCTGTGCCCCACACAGCTACCCCCACACCCCTTCACTCCCATCCCCCCCTTCTGCCCCCGAACCTCCACCCCCATATTCCTGGGGTTACTTTCTATATCCTCTCCCATGCGCCTGCGTGTGTGTGTGTCCCGGCTTGTGCCTCCACCTGCGCATCAACACGCGTTTCTGTATGTCTGTACACGTCTCTGTGTGTACCTGTGTGTGCATACATGTGTCTGTTTGCACCTGTTTGTGTACATGTGTGTGTGTGTACATGTGTCTGTACTTCTTCCAACTTTGCATCTCTTCTCAGCGCAAGAACCTCTCCCTGGTGAAGGTCCCCCCCACTCCTCAAGGCCCCCCAACCCTCAAGACCCCCTCCACTGCTGCCCCCAAATGCCCCTCGACACTCCGGGCCCCAACCCAGGGCCCCCAAACTCTCAAATCTCCTCTTCCTACTCGGGCAGCACCCACGCCACCAGGGCCCCCAAAAACACAGGAACACCATAATTTACCAGCACCCCCCAAGATACAAGAGCCACCTACCCTCACAGGGCCACCCAAAACTGATGGACCCCTTACTTTACCAGGGCCCCAAAAAATACAAGGGCCCCCTACACTTACGGGGCCTTCGAAAATACAGCCCCCCCCTAACCTACCAGGGACTCCCAAAAAACAGGGACCCATAACTCTTCCAGGCCCAACTATCCTGGTAGTGTTTTCCAAGGCCCAGAGAGCCCCTACCCTCCTAGTGCTCCCCAAAACACAGGGGCCCCCTACCGTCCCAGGGGCCCCCAATATACAGGGACCCCCTCTCCTTCCAGGACCTCTCAAAACACAGGAACCTCCTACCTTACCAGGTCCTTCCAAAATACAGCGAACCCCTCTCCTTCCAGGACCCCCCAAAACACAGGGGCCTTCTACCCTTCCAGGTCTTCCCAAAGTACAGGGACCCCCTATCCTTCCAGGACCCCCCAATATACAGGGACCCCCTATCCTTCCAGGACTCCCCAAAACACAGGAACCTCCTACCTTACCAGGTCCTCCCAAAATACAGGGACCCCCTATCCTTCCAGGAGCCCCCAAAATACAGGGACCCACTCTCCTTCCAGGAGCCCCCAAAATACAAGGGCCTCCTACCTTACCAGGTACCCCCAAAATACAGTGTCCCCTGACCCTTCCAAGCCCCCCGAAAATACAGGGACCCCCTACCCATCCAGGCCCCCCCAAAACACAAGGAGCCCCTGCCCTTCCAGGGCCCTCCAAACTGCAAGGACCCCCTACCTTGTCAGGGACCCCTACTTCTCAGGATCCGCCCTCCATCCCAGGACCTGTCAACCCTGGGGGGCCCTTCGCCTTTGCTGGAGCCCCCCCCGTCACTGTGCAGAGCAGCGGCCCCCCCCCTACTCTGCAGGTAGCAGCTGATTTGTGTTTTGCAGCAGTGATGACTCTCTAACCCGTAACCCATAACCCCTAACCCGTAACCGTAACCCGTAACTCGCCACCCATGGGGCTGCACTGAGGGTGGAGTAACGCTAACGCCGCCGCTTCCCTCGTCACTGCCGGCACTGTGAACGCTCCCAGTCTCACGACGTCTTCCCCCTCATCTCTTTCTCTCGTGATGCCCCCTCTCAACCCCGCCTTTGATGGCAGCCCCCTTCTCTATCCCCCTGCTCACGATGACCATCCCTTCATGCGATGGCCACCTTCTCTCGGTGAACATTGTTGACTACTGTACTCGTGTATCTATGTATGTACGTTGAACTTCTTTCGCACCGTACGTAGACAACGATGCTCATCGGAGGTGCGGGGGAAGGACAACAAACTAAACACAAAAAGCAGTCGTCAAGAAATTAGTTTTCAATCTAGATGTAAAAGTGACGAGTCCTAATGAAGATGAAACCAAACCGCAGGTGTCTCTCTGTTTCATCGCTGCCTCTGTTGGGACGGCCACATTTATTAACTCTCCTCCGTGCTGGTGACCTAAACGATTCTACGGCCACACAATTGGCTCTTGTCTGGAGCAGGCTGAGAGCATTGCACGTGCGCCGCGGTGGTCACGTGGCGTGCATGCGGGGCGTGCGGATGGGGGTGGCGCCTGCCTGCTGCGTGTGAGCAGCGCGCTGCTACGCGCCATTGAGTTTGTGTGCGGCCTGCACGACACGTTCTCCTGCTGCGATGAGTTCTCTCATCATTCACATGGAACGTCGGGTTTGAATCCCCCCTTTTGTGTCATGACGGCCACCGCTCCCTCTTGCTGTGCTGCCTGCGTGTTTGTATTACAGAGTTGTGTGCGTTTGGGGAGCGGAAGTGCATGTGGAGTGACAGTGTAGCGGTTAGTGCATTGCGCTATGAAACCGGCTAGCCGAGTTCGATTCCCACTTGTGACCAATAACAGTGGCAAATATTTGAATTGGTCCTAATTCGTACTTCAGTTTTCCCAGCCTTAAACGAGTACCTGGTGGGGTGTGTTAACATCGCCACTCAGGAGACAAAGGCAGCTGGGCGTGGTACTAGCCACCCATCCCCTCGTATGCTGTGCCGACCTTCATAGGTACTGGCCAAGAGCATTTACCCCAATAGTATGTTGAGGCTAAATGAGGCATCATTGTGTGTTCACGTGTGTGGGTGTGTGCAGCCAGCGCTGGTGGTGCCACGCCGCATCCCCTCCAACAACAAGCACGACCGCGCTGAGCGCACGCGCTCCGAGATCACATGTGAGACACCCCGACACGCTACACAACCACCACAACAATTATAATTTATAAAGCTTCTGAATTCAATCGGCTATGATCAATCCACTGCTGGATGAAGGCCTCTCCAAGCTGCCACCATCTCTCATGATTCGGCGATATGACTCCAGTATCCGCATTTGAGATGATTTTACTGCTCCATTCCTTGGGTGAACGCCCTCTTTGGGCGACTTACATTAACGACTACGTTAGGGTAGCAGAGGGGAGTTGGGGGGGGAGTTAGGGCTGGGAGACACTGGGGGGAGGGAGAGAGCGACTCTTGCCGCAACCGCGGCTCTACCGGGGACCAACCGGGGCTCAGTAACAACGGGCAGCCAGGGCAGCAGGGAGGGCCGAAGCCGTTTAGGGACCTCACAACTCATGAGCCCACGTTGGGTCACCGCACCCCTTGAAGGAGGTGGAGTGGGAGGTGCGCGAGCAGTGAGGACGCGTTCCGGGTCACCGCCACTCAGCTACTGTCTCCCTGCGTACCCTTCCTCCTCCTCATATGTCAGTTGACCAGGTGACCTTTGATCCTCCGTTGAGGAAAGAGACGGTGCCACATCACGACCTGGTAGGTGGCGGAGGGAGCCTGCGGTGGTATGCACACAGACGCGCACAGCCAACACACACACGCACATGCATGCACGCACGCGCATACACAACACACACACACACACACGGCAACACGTACACGGCACACGTGTATGTATACACGCACACATGAGCCCGGCGCGTGGCGCATAACTCATTGCTAACGCATCCTGCCAGCTCCAACTTTGACTGTAGCCTAACTCACGCACGCTGGGGATGCACGAAGAGCGACACCGCTTGCAAGATAACTCGTGACACGTGCCTGTGTGTGGGTGCGTGCGTGCGTGTGTACGAGCATGGGAGTGTGCATTTGTGTACGGTTTTGTATTTGTGTCCATGTGTTGCCGTGTGTCCCTGTGGGGTGGTGTGGTGTCTTTTGTGTTGTGTGTCTGCCTTCTGTGTGTGTCTGTGTATGTTGTGTATTTGTGTTCCGTGTGTTTGCATATGTGTGCGTCTGTCTCTGCCCTTTGTGTGTGTCTGCTCTGTGTGTCTGTGTCATATGTGTGCATGTGTCTGTGCGAGTCAGCCCCACGCGGGCCAGGAGGGTGCGGACGAGTTGTACTTCACGGCACGGCCCTTCCTGGTACCGCACACCTCTTTTCCGTCTGTGTGTCCATGCGTCTCGTGCGTCTCGTGCGTGCACCCGTCCCACGCTTATTTTGCGTCTCATTCCGAGCTTTGCGCTTGTGTGCGACCCCCGGCACTGTGGCCACAGCCACGCGTCCACGTGTGCACTTCACTGCCCATCTCCGTTTCCCATTATTTGTGTGCATGGTTTGTCTGTCCGCCTGTCCGTGGGCCCGTGAGCTCACCGCCACGCGGGGTCCATTTTTGCGTGCTCACCCACTTCTGTCCCCTGGCTGTTTTTGCAATTGATCTCTTGACTGTGCACCCCCTGAATATTTACGACTGCAACGCAGAGAACAAAAACACGTCGCAAGTTGAACTCTTACTGCTGTCAAATGTGACCTGGAGCACTCGCTGCACCAGATAGATTCAGAGTGAGGTAGTCGCTGATTAATTGATGACCCAGCACTCACTGATTCACTCCAGTCACTCGCTCACGCAGCAGTCGGGCATCTCCTCATCACTCTTATATCGGTACTAACAAGGTTACTGATTCCATGTTGAGGACTTAAAGATATCGACTGTTTCATCTCATCCACACTGTTCAACCACCGCACTGCACGTCACAACAACTCTCTCACTCACTCATCCACTGACCACACTACAGGTCACAACGCTGCTTCCTCCATTGCACTGCTCCACTTTGGAATTCTCCCTCATCGTTTATTTTTCCCAAGCTCTTGTTATGACCTCGCTCGATTCCTGAAATGCGTTGGCCCTTATCTAGAGGGGGTCGGAATGACTGCAGTTGAGAATTACTGGCCTGGAGGAGGGGCTCCAGCCTTCATTAGGCCGCCCTCCTCCCTGCTAGAATCGTGAGGTGATTGAAGTGCCAGCCTCCAGAGCGATGGGAGAGCCGAATGCACGCGGTGGTTCCTCTGCTCGTGCTGCGGCCCTCGCTTTGTACCTGTGGATAACTCCATGCTTTCTGTGTCCGTGTGTGCGCGTGTATGTGTGTTGGCCTGTCCTCGTGTGTGTGCCTGTGTATGTTTCCATACCTGCGGGTGTCCATGCACGCATTTCTGTGTGCGTGCGTGTGTCCGTGTGTGTGTGTGCGCATGCGTGTCCCTGCGTGTGTGCATGTATTTTGTGCGTTTCAGGACATGCAGGAGGAGTATGAGCTGGGCAGTGGGTGGTCAACCTACCCCAAGGAACCCACGTCCTCCAAGTGAGGATCCGCAATGCACCCGCATTCACTCACTCACACTCCGCCACTCACACCCCTGCACTCGATCTCGCACACACACACACACACCCTCAATGCCTCACGCACTAAAATCTTCACTCCCTCACTCGCACACATAAACTCAACATGCATGCACACATTCGCGAACACGCTCCCTCACTCATAAAAATATGCCTTTTAGCATTTAACATGCTCCCACACACACACATCCTCGCGCCCGCGCCCCACACTCACATGCACTCATCCCCTCAAACACGCTCGCACACATCCTCGCACATGCTCACACACACACGTCCTCACACGCTGCCACGCACCACCTCGCCCGTGCTGTAGGCCCCAGTGTCCCGCATCTGCCGCAACGTAGCTAGTCTCCAAGCAGTCTCCTTTACTCGGGGGAGCGGCTTGTGTTGCACCAGCTTTTGACGATGCTTTACACCTCAACCGATCGGAGGTGACCGCCTGCCCTCCCCTGCCTTGCCCTTCCCTGTGCCTGCCCCGCCCCTCCACCCTACCCTGCCCTCTCCTCCCCGTTCCCCGTATCCTCCCTGGCAGGAGCCTCCTCAAGTCTGTGGAGGAGGAGTTACAGCAGAGGTACAAGATCCACGCTACGCCCGCCCTAATCATTCCCCTGCGTACAGTGCCAGGCTTTCAGATCCGGGGTTTCTCGCTCTCACTAACGACGTCACCATCCCGCCGACGCGTTGTCCACAGATTACGCTTTGCTTCCTAAATAATCGTGCTGGCTGTGGTGTGGAGTGCGCAGTGGGGGTTGGGGGTGAGGAGCCTTAACAGCCGTTGGAAGCCGTGAGGCTGCTCGCACTAACCCTAAACCCCGCCCCCCGTGTCCTCTCCAGGGGTCACATGACACACCTGGATGACGATGATGAGTCTGAACAGTAAGTTGTCCTCTAACCTCTAACCTCCACTGTCGTGACTAACGTCGAGTATTTTTGTGGGAGCCTCGGGCCAGAGGAGTGTTGGTGGTGCATTGAATTGTGTTGGGTTCAAGTTGATTTTGATAAACGAGGCAAGAACTGGAGAGGCCAGGATAGCCTCGTTTGCATGACTCACGAGAGCAGTAGAGTCGCAGGAGGGAGCAGCTGATTCGCTTTCACTGCGACGACACTGACCGCGAATCCGTGTGGTGCGTGTGATTCCAGCTGCACCCTGAAGCGGGCGCCACCACCACCCATCCCCACAAAGGTACAGCCCCCGGCTCTCCACTCAATACACCACCACAATCACCACCTACACCGCCCGTCACAACCAATAACAACAACTGACGTTCGCAACTAAGTGGCGGTAATGTCACTATGGCGCTTGTGCTAGGCTACGTGTATCTTGAGGCCATGAAAAGCGTTAAAGGCTCGCTGACAGGAGGTCATGGGACAGATCCAGATCACTGGCACATGCACCAATTGTGCTCTCCACTGTGCCAAATGTCTATTTTAGCCGCCCAGCGCTCTACGCGTTGTAAGTGTCGGTCCTCCACTTTCCGCTCTTGTTGGAAGGTGACTGCCTCCAACTGCCCAGTAGCATCCTTTACGAGCCTCATCCATTGAGATTGATGTTTACACCGCTGGTACCAGTCATCGGCAAGTCGACTCAGCTCCACATCCTCCTCTACCGCATCAGTCAAACTCTATTCTAACCCGTGCCGTGCCCGTTTAGCCCCATATTTCCGGTCAAACAGAAGCTGCTTAGGCATGCGGTTGCTCGGCATGTGGGCTTCGTGACCCAGCCAACGCAGCCTCGCTACCGGAGAAGCTCACCGATGAAACTGACCAGATCATAACTCAATACCACCACAATCAGCAACACCACCATCACCACCGCTCCTATAATGATTGTGAAGTGCCACCGAGTCATTGCCGTTGATGGTTGTGCCGCTGTTGGGCGCCGTGTGTGATGGGGATGTCGCACCGCCGCGTGTGCTCCCCCACAGGCGCGTGGCACCGGCAGCTCGGAGGAGAGCACACCGGACGAGGAGCGGTGCGCCACCATCCGCAGCGTGGCACCGGGGGGCACGGGGAGCATGCGCGGAACCCCCCCTCCTCCACGGCCACCACCCCCCCGCCTTTCCCCCCGGGGCGGCCCCCCACCACGGCCGCTAGGACCTCCCCGGCCCCCTCCAACCTCCGTCGAGGGAGAGGAAAAATCGGCGACCGTGGGGGCAGCTCCCCCCAGGCCATCGCAGCTCGCACCCCAGGGCTCCCCTGACACCTCCAGTAAGCCTCCCACCCTCCCTCCCCTTCTCCCTCCCCCCCTCCCTCCCTCACACACAGCCGGCATAGGATGCAGTGGTGCGAGTTGAGCCCTGTGGTGACTCATGTGTGTGCATGCTGTGTTGTGTGTGCATGCTGTGTTGTGTGTGCGGAACCTGCGTGACGTGCGTGCGACACGTGTGTTTGTGGCACGTGCAGCGAACGGAGTGCTGCCCAACGGTGAGCGGGGGGCGTCGCCTGCGGCAGTGGAGGTGGAGCGGGACTCGCAGGGGGCCTCCGTGCCCCCCACCGTGCCCCCCCGGACTCTGAGAGGGGACAAAGACAAAATGGATGCCCAAGTGAGCGGAATAGGTGGCATTGAACGCCTTGTAAAGGACGGTTGTGACACCAGGGGCTTTTGCCCCCACCCAGGTTCTCTTAACCCCCCCCGCCACCCCCCCCCCCACCTCTGTCCTGCAGAAGCAGAGCATCAACGGGCTCCCACCGACTCCGAAAGTGCACGTGAGTCTCTCTCATCATCATTGTCATTTAAACACAGTAGCTGGGCACAGGCCCAAATCGTCACGGGGCCAGCAACAAGCAGCACTATCACAGATAAGAGTGATACACATTTCTTGAATTGAGTGAAGTTATCGTAAAAGCTTGTCGGGAACAGAGACGATGATAAGAGTATGGAATTCCAAAGTTGAGCAGTGTGAGGGAAGAAGCGGAAAGATAAGGTGACCTGCAGTGCGGTGAGGTGAGTTGGTGAGTGGGTGTGTCGATGAATGGATGTGTGGGTAAGTGAGTGGGTGAGTTGGTAAGTGGGAGCTTGCCTCTCAGAGGTGGGGACTTACCATCAGCCCTACCAAAACTAAGCACCTGCCTGGGTATTTTGTACCATCGGAAACTCCTCCCCCACAACTCCCAATTGGTGATAGGGCAGTTGTGGAGAGAGTGGAGAGTTTCCCATACCTGGGCAAGGTGCTCATGACCGGCTTCGGTTTGACAGCAGAGGTCTCCTAACTCCGAATCAGTCGAGCGGCATTATCTTTTCATCAGTTGCGTAACGCTGTGTGGATGCTACCTGGTTTATCGCTCTGCACGAAACTTCAGGTCTTCTCGGCCACAGTGATTCCCTCCCTTCTCTACGCTTGCGAAACGTGGACCCCCCTAATGGAACATCTTCGGCGGTTAGAAACATTTAGGCTTGCCTGCCTACGATCCATCCTGGGTTTAACCAGGCTGGATTGTGTGAGGAGCTCACATATCCTCGAAAGATCTAGACAAAGTCCCATCGGTGAGCTTCTCTGGCAGGCAAGGCTGCATTGGCTGGGTCATGTAGCCCGCATGCCCAACCACCGCATACCTAAACAGCTTTTGTTCGGCCGTATCGAGGGGGCTAAACGGGCGCGGCATGGGCTAGAGAAGAGATGGAGTGATGTGGTACAGGAGGACGTGGAGCTGAGTGGACTTGCCGATGACTGGTACCAGCGGTGTCAAGATCGGCCTCTGTGGAGGAGCCTCGTGAAGGACGCTACTGGGCAGTTGGAGGCAGTTGCACTCCAACAACAACGGAGGGGGAAGGAGTGATGCTCACAACAACGAGCGGAGCGTCAGGTGGCTAAAGCACATCAAGTTAGCACAGTAGGGGGCACAGGTAGTGCATTAGCCAGTCATCTCAGTCGATCCGTGGCACCTGGGTCTGCCCCGTGACCTTCTGCCAGCGGGCGTTTAACACTTCACATGGCCTCAACGTGTAACATAGCCTGGCACAAGTGTCGTGGTGACGTCATCGCCACTTAGTGGCGAATGGCGGTTGTTGTTGTTGAGTTGGTAAGTGAGTGCGTGGGTGAGTGAGTGGGACCTGGACAGAGGGCGGTGCTGTGCTGGGTGCTGATTGGCGACTTGCACTCTCTCTTGCCTCCCAGATGGGCGCATGCTTCTCCAAGGTGTTCAATGGCTGCCCACTCCATATCAACTGTGCGTCATCCTGGATCAACCCCGAGACTCGCGGTAACGCACGCACGCGTGCCTTCTTTACAAAGGGGGACACCACCAGGGCATATTTCCAATTCGGGAGAACCTTTGCTGTGGTGCAGACAGTTGTAATGATCTACACTATGGGGACCTCATTTGCCAGTAAAAATATGATAATTGGTTCTTTACCCTTCTATCTGGCAACAAAACTGACACCTTTTTACAAGGAGTCATGTTTGCATAGACCGCAATACCTGCAGTCATAAATACAAACAAAAGACATAACTCTGATAATGTGCACTGTCCTTGAAGTTGATTGGTCCACACCCGAGACAGCTTTCCTTCGAGCCTAGTCTCAGCTTTCCTTCGAGCCTAGACTAGGCTCGAAGGAAAGCTGTCTCGGGTGTGGACCAATCAACTTCAAGGACAGTGCACATTATCAGAGTTATGTCTTTTGTTTGTATTTATGACTGCAGGTATTGCGGTCTATGCAAACATGACTCCTTGTAAAAAGGTGTCAGTTTTGTTGCCAGATAGAAGGGTAAAGAACCAATTATCAGTTGTAATGATGTCATATGGGGCAGCCGGCACACAATCACCACCCTGAGGAGGTCTTCTTTACCCGGCTTTTTACCTGGACTCAGGTTCCGGATACCTCTCCACACTTGTTCAACAAATGGCGCGTCAGCCGGCCACTTGGCTACTTGAGCGGTGGCGTGGCCCAGTGGGCGAGCTTTCGCCGCATATTGCAAGGGTTCACGGTTCAAATCCGGCGGCCGCACCAGTCACTTCTGGCGCGTGTGTAATACCCATGGTGGTACTCCGCGTCATCCACTTCATAGCGGACGTTAGATATTGCTGTTCGGTCGTTGGAAAGAGCATCCCGCGAGTCGCGTCATTGTGTCCACAGACCAGCACCTCATATTCGGGGCTGATGAGGGCATCTACAACCTCAACCTCAACGAGCTGCACGAGGCCAGCATGGAGCAGGTGGTGGCCCACGCACCCAGCACACGCCGCACCATGCACCACGGTACACGCCACGCACGCAGCCCAACACTCCATTACTGCCCCACACCAGCAGAAAACACCTGGGGGTAGGAGGGTTGTTGTGACTCTGTGTGTCCTTGTTGTTGCAGCTCTACCCCCGCCGCTGTTGCTGGCTCTATGTCGTCAACAATGTGCTCATGTCCATTTGCGGTAAGTGCTCCAATTACAATTTATACTCGGTTTATACGGCAGCATCTAAATGCAGCCGCATCTCAACATGCTGCACAGGCTGAGTCGGTGGGGGGGGGGAGCTATGTTCTCAACAGAGGCGGTCATAGGCAGATGACAGGAGTCTTGAGCCATGGACTTGAACAGGGGCAGGGAGCCAGCAACATGGGTGACTGGGGGAAGGGAGTTCCAGATCTAACCCCTCCCTACTGCAGTGCTTCGGGTAGTACTGCGCATCGATGGCTTTGTAAGGTGGTTGTGTGTGAACTTGGGGTGGCTGTGTTGGTTGTTTATAGTGGTTGTGTGTGCGTGTGCGGTGGCGGGTTCCTTACGGGGGCTATGGTTGCTGTGCGTGGTTGCTGTGCGTCGTGTGGCGGTGCGTGCAGGAAAGACGTCCCAGCTCTACTCGCACAGCCTCCTCGGCCTGTTTGAGCAGGCGAGGAGACAGCACAGCCTTCCCGTGCACATCCCCACACACCGCCTCCCCGACCGCATCATACCACGGTACGGGGAGGCAGCCTCGCGCCGCACAACTCGTTGACGCCACCCCATGTGCCTCACCCGTGACACACCGCTCAAACTGGTCTCGTCTGGCTGTGCTGTCTCCGTGCAGGAAATTTGCCGTTTCGACCAAGTTCCAGGACACCAAAGGCTGCCAAAAGTGCTGCGTAGGTGAGGTGTGAGCGGCGCGCCCATCGTATGCCTTGCCAACCTAAATAGCCGCTCACTAATAGCGCTTAGTCCATCGGTCTGTTAAAGGCTATATGGGAGATTTTTGTCTTTGTGTGCGTGTGCGAGCGCAGTGCGTAACCCCAGTACTGGAAACAAGTACTTGTGCGGCGCGCTGCAGTCGGGCATCATACTTCTGCAGTGGTACGAGCCCATGCAGCGCTTCATGCTCATCAAGGTGAGAGGTCGCAAATCTCCCCAGCGCCGCCACCTTAGCGGTTGAGTGCATGCGTCACTCACGCACGTGCGTGCGTGTACACCTGTGCACACATACGTGGAGAGTGGTAGTGCAGCAGTTAGCACGCTGCACTACAAATCGGTTACCCGGGTTCAATTCCCGCTCAAGGCCAACACCAGTGACGATTATCTGCACCAGTCTTGGGCCTCCCCTAGGTTGACTGAGCCCTAAATTAGTACCTGGTGCAGTGTGTAAACATCACCACTAGGGAGACAAAGGAGGCGGAGGTGTTGGCCACCCACACCTTCGTGTGCCATGCCGGCCTTCGTAAGTGCAACTTGCGAACAGCACTTACCTCAACGGTTTGTTTAAGCTCTACACCGGGGGTCTTTGTGTACACCTGTGTGTTGCGTGAGCAGCACTTTGAGTTCCGGTTGCCGGTGCCACTGCGCGTGTTCGAGCTGCTCGTGGTGCCGGAGCACGAGTTCCCGCTCGTGTGCGTGTCGGTGAGCCGTGGCACCGACCCCGGCCAGGCCGTGCGGCTTGACACCATCAACCTCAACTCGGCCTCCTCCTGGTTCACCGAGACCAGCACCGGTACGAGGCCAACCTCCTGCACCACGGCCGTGGTGACGTGATCTGGATATGTGTGTGTATGGAGTAGTAGAGGGGTGTGTGTGTGAACGTGTGTGGAGGAGTAGAGGTGTGTGTGTGAACATGTGTGGAGGAGTAGAGGGGTGTGTGTGTGTGAACGTGTGTGGAGTAGAGGGGTGTGTGTGTGTGAACGTGTGTGGATTAGAGGGATGTGTATGGACGTATGTGGAGTAGGGGGGTGTGTGTGTGAATGTGTGTGGAGGAGTAGAGGGGTGTGTTAACGTGTGTGGAGGAGTGGAAGAGTGTGTGTGTGTGTGCGTGGAGGCGTGAGTGAGGCGGTGCCGGTGTGACGCTGTGTTGGGATGCAGGCGGCGCACCCCTGGAGCACGTGCACGTCACTCAGCTGGAGAAGGAGACTTTGTTGGTGTGCACTGACAGTGAGTGCACTCCCTCCCTTCTCATGCTCACCCACCCCTTCCCTCCCATCATCCTTCATCCAGCCCTCCCTTTACACGACTGCCATGCATTCATGCACGTGTGCGCACGTGCATGTCCATGCACGTGTCTGTCCTCACGTTTTGTGAATAATAGGGAGCAGTAGTGCAGTGGTTAGCCTGGTTGGCTACGTACGGTGCGAAAGAAGTTCAACATACAGCGACCCGCGTTCGATTCCCGCTCAAGGCCAACACCAGTGACGAATATTTGAACCGGTGCTGAGCCTTCCCGAGGTCGACTCAGCATCAAATGAGATCCTGGTGCAGTGTGTGATCATCCCTACTCAGGAGACAAAAGACGGCCAGGCGTAGTGCCGTGCCGGCTTTCATAGGTGCTTCCTAACAGCACTTGCCCCCCACAGTCTGTTGAGGCTATGCGGGGGATCTTTGTGTGCGTGATGTGTGTGCGTGATGTGTGTGCGTGTGTATAAATGCGTGCGTTTGTGTGTAGGGTGTGTACAGATCGTGAATCTGCAGGGACGCCTCAAGTCCAGTCGCCGAATGGCGACCGAGCTGCTCTTCAACTTCCGCATTGACTGCATCGGTAAGATGCGGCACAGCTTACGGCACGCATCACAGCACGCATCACAGCACGCATCACGCGGCCCCGCTGTGTCACCCCATGTGTGACACCCATTGTAACCCACTGTGTGTCCCACTGTATAACTCGCTGTACGGCCTGTGGTGTGACCCGTTGTGTGACTTGTTGTGTGTCCCGCTGTGTAACCCGCTGTGTAACTCGCCTTGTCCTCCCGCTGTGTCTCCCACTGTGTCTCCCGCTGTGTAACCCGCCGTGTCTCCCGCTCTTGTGTAACCTGCTGTGTTTCCCGCTGTGTAACTCACTGTGTGAACCGTTGTGTAACTCCCTGTGTCTCCTGCTGTCACCTGCTGTGTCATCTGCTGTGTAACTCTGTGTGTCTCCCGCTGTGTCTCCCACTGTGTGACCCGCTGTGTAATTCGCTGTCTCCCGCTGTGCCCCCCGCTGTGCCCCCCGCTGTATAACTCGCTGCATGACCCTTGGTGTGACCGGCTGTGCCACCACCACTGTGCACAGTATGCCTGCAGGACAGCGTGCTGGCGTTCTGGAAGCATGGCATGCAGGGCCGCAGCTTCCGCACCAACGAAATCACTCAGGAGATCGGCGACCAGACACGCGTGTTCCGCATGCTGGGCTCAGACAGGTGAGCTCCCGCGGTGTGCCGGGAGCCGTGTGGTGGGTGGTGTGCTGGGTGGCATGCTGGTTGGGTATCCTGTATGGGTTTTTGTGCTGTTTGGTCTGGTGTGTTGCGTGTGGTTTGGTGTGCTGCCTGTGGTGTGGTTGGAGTGTGATGTGCTCTGTGTGGTGTGCCATGTGTGGTGTGATGTGACGCGTGTGGTGCGTTGCGGAGCGCGCTGTGACGTCGCGGTGCGTGTGCCGCATACCTCAGCAGGGTGGTGGTGCTCGAGAGCCGGCCGACAGACAACCCGGTCGCCCAGAGCAACCTGTACATCCTGGCAGGACACGAGAACAGCTTCTGAGGAAGGGCCCTGGGGCCTCGTGTGCCCCCCCCTACCCCACGTAGCCCCCCCCCCCCCTTCCCGATGTGGCCCTGCCGGAGCTTCGCTTGCCACTGGAACTGCGCCTAATCGCTCACGAAACGACGAGGGAAGTGGCCTCACGGCGCACGCGCCGACCTGGGGGGGGCCCGTGATAAGCGGAGTGCGGGGGACACGGGGGGCCCCGCCGCCACCGTATAGGAAGGGGCCGGAACGGGGCCTCCGCTCGGTGCCAAGTGACTTGCGGAAGCGAGGGGAGACAGGGCCCCTCTCTATACGGGTCCCCGAGATGCCTGGATGGGGCCGAACCCCGGGAGGGACTGGGGCCCCCAGGGCCCGCAGCCGCCGTTCATGACGACGCAGAAACGTGCAGGGCCCCCACGCCGCCCCCCCCCACACAGACGCTTCGTTTTTTTAAGTTTATTTACACCTTTTGCCAAAGCGTAAGGTCTATCAAAGTTATAGATTTGTTGAAAATTTTATTGCCGATATGTTTTAGAGCTCTCTAATATTTAATATTGGTGGCAGGTGTACTTGAGAAGTATAAATCCGAGCACTTTGCTGGAGTGTAATATATAAACATGTAACAAGTTATAATTTTATAAGTGCAGTCAGTAAAATTCGCCGGCTTCGCACGGCTAGCGTGGCTGCAGTGGCATATGGCTAAAAGTTCTGCTGGGTGGGGAGCCCTCCACGTCGGTGGTCAGGTCTCTACCAAGGCCATCGGCTGCCAAGGCAACTCTCTCCTCTTCGGCAAAAGCGTTTTGTACACGTACCACGCAGTCTATATTACAGTATATGCAGTATACGCGCGCATTACCCTGCACGCATGCAGCCTGGGGGTGGGCGACGTATCCCGTCCCCATGGCCGCGCACACACACTACCTTCGCGTCCTGGTTTATGCAATAATTATTTCCGCATTTGAACGAGTCAACTCCCCTTATTTGGAGGCCTCGTGAGACACGGCGCGTGTGGGCTCAGGTGAGGCGGGGACTGGGTCCACATAGGTGGTGGCCTGGGTGCCCTGGGTGGCTGGCAGTGTGAACACTAATTACCGAAAGCAACCGTAAGTTGAAAGTGGAGCCTGGTGAAACACTGGTGCTGGGAGCCCATGAATTAAATATCACACTTTAGGGTTGCGGTTTGGTTCAAGAATGCATGAATTTCTTTACATTACTAGTAATGCAGCGTGTCCACTCGTACAACATGAGTGAAGATGAGTAATTTATTCCATTTTCATGGGCATAGGAATAGACATGAATCAAGTTGCATTCCTCAATCTGGGTTAGGGTCAATGACATGGCTAGTACTTGTGGTGGCTCGCTTGTTGGTTAGGGTTCGTGGGATGGCGAGTACTCGTGGCTAGCTAGTTGGTTAGGATTATGATCAGTAGGATGGCAAGCACTAGTGGTGGCTGGCTCGTTGGTAAGGATTATGATCAGTGGGATGACGAGTACTCGTGGCTGCCTCGTTTAATCTGGGTTATGATCATCGGGATGGCCACTTGTGTCTGGCGAGTTGGTCTTAATCAGTGGGATAGCTAGTACTGGTGGTGGCTGGCTGGCTGGTTGGTTATGGCTCTGGGGTAGCATTGGTTGTCTGGTGGTGACCGTGCACACGCTGCTTGTCCTTTATTATTGTGATGTATGGCCCCTCAGTGTTCGGTGCCTCCGGCTTGTGGTGTTCACATGGACCAGGTCTCCCTCCTCACTCGCGCCCCACCCCACGTTCCTCTCCCTGCCTGCGCGGGGCTGTAGTCTGCATACTGGGTGGAGTTGAGGGTTGCATTTGGTTGAGTTGAGCTGGGGGGAGTTGAGATGAAGTGTAGTTTGGTGAAGTTGAGGGTTGAGTTGGGTGGAGTTGAGCGATGAGTGGAGTTGAATTGAGTTTTGTGGAGTTGAGTACTTGTATGGAATTGAGCTCGGTGGAGTTGATGGTTGGATTAAGTGGAATTGATTTGCATTGAGTTAGGGTCGAGTTGGATTGAGTTAGGGATGAGTTGAGTTTGACTGGGTTGAACTGAGTAAATTTGAGGGTGGAGTTCGGTTGCACTCTGCATTGACCCCGGGGACCCCTTTCACGGGGAGGAGGATGAGGGAGGGGGCTGCTTGTATAGCATAGCAATGTACATAACGTTTCTCGGAGGTCGCGCTGACGCGTGCAACCATGTTCCCCGCAACCTCCACACACTACTGAATGCGCTTTGCGGGGGTCGTGGAGGGGGCGAGGGTCGGGGTTCTGTTACACAGTGGAGTGGGGGCAGCGCGCCTCCCGACAGCATGTGTCGTGTTCTGTGTAAATATTGTAAAATACAATGAGGACCGCAGTCGTGACGCCTCCCTTACTCCGGGAACCCCCACGCTGGCTACACACGGTCAACTATCAACAACACCGCTTCACTATAAACTAAAACCGGTCACACTATCAATTACACCGTTACACTTATCAACTACACGACATGGCCAACAACACTGCTAACTATACCACAACACTACACTTTTAACTACGCTAATTGCAACACTGCATCTCCGACACCACGAATTTCATCCGCTGCACTGCACTCAGCTACACCACCAATTCCACCACTCCACCTACAGGCTGTTTAACAGCATGGTGCCATCAGTGGCGTCAACCCACGGACAAATCCAGCGGCAGCAGAGACGTGGACCCACTGGTCAGCAGAGATCGCGAGGTCACCGAGAGCCTGGAGAGGGGGGCTAGCTGTTCAGTGGTCGGTTAAGTGAGAGCAATTATCTCACGAATGTTCACAGGAGGGGAATATTTGAATGGGATGAACATTGGATGGTGGACGGCGGGCAAGAATAATAACGGGAGTGGCAGCTGTGGATTTGAACGTATCGGAGATGTCCACCGAGAGGATGGAGCGATGACATCGGTTAATATGCAGAAGACGCATGGATTGTTACACGAGGATCGTGAGAGGGTGGCTGCGGCTTGGGAAAGTCCTCATCCAGCAGTGGATCGATCACGTAATTAGCTGCACTACGTTGAAACCTGGCGTTCCGTTTCCCCCATGGTAAAAGCCGATTGGCGTTCGCTGCTTAGTGGCGCAGACGACATGAAAAATCGAATAATCACGAACTACCCTCGGTGATACAGGCGTCACATTTGTCGAGTGTCCTGTGGTTACTTAAGAAAAACATCAAAGATGTTCACCACTGATATATTTTTTCGTGGCTGCCTTTTTAGAAAAAAAAAACACGCACCATTGTGAATATCTGGCAAGTTTCATGTTTGTATCACAAATTAAACGATTCCTGTGAAAATATGCACTTAGTGTGCCCCACTGTCATGTTGAGTTCGTCCCTTTAAACGCGGGTTTCAAACCACATGTCCCGGCCGTATGTCGGCTCAGCGCTCCGAGTCTGTGGCATGGACATTGACATCGGATTGAAGCTTTCGTGACTGCAGAAATTATTGTGCTCATTGGTTCTTTCGGTAAAGTCACGTAGAAAGGAAATAATAAAATAATAAAAATAAAATTGTCTTTCCGACAGACCTGTTCTTCACCTGAGGACGGCTGCTTGCGTTGTGGCCGAAACGTCGTGAGAATTTTATTTTATTATGTTTTTTATTATTTTCCTTCTACGTGACTTTACCGAAAGAACCAAGAAGATGAATCCCTGCAGTCACGAAAGCTTTAAATCGAAAGTCGCGTATGTAGAAATCAAATCAAATGTAACTAAATTAAAATAAATCACGACTTTTTGAACGCAACACAAGCGATCATCATCAGGAGGAAATGGGGCAAAACAGAGCAGGGGGACATCAAGCACACAGCACAGAGAACGGTAAACTGCACGGAGGCAAACAACAAGAAGATGGGAGATGAGAACTCAACAAACCTTAGAAACAATGTGATTCAAAACCAGTAGGCCAACAACAGTCAGACACTAACCTGGTTGACCACGTATTTCAAAAGACTGCTAAATTTCGTGTTCAACTTCTGGGCGAACTTACCAACGTCGACAGAGTGAACAGATACGAGAGGTACAAGGTAGCAGAGATGCATACATACAGAGAAGAAGACACAGGGAAAGATGCTTTGAGCAGCACAGAGGGACAACCAGAGTAACAACACATCAAGAGACATACACACACGTGGAGAGGCACACACAGAAAGACACCTGGAGGGATAACGTAAAGTCACGTATGTAGAAATAAAATAAAATTTAACTAAATAAAAATAAAACCAATGAGCATTATAAACCCACGAGGCCACGGCTTAATGAGACATGCTCGAGCCTGTGACGTCACTCCACATGAGGCCCATCCTCGCGCGTGACGTCACTCCACATGAGCCCCTCCCCCCTCATTAATATTCACGAGTGGATGAATTTTTACACGAACGCAGAGGAAGGTTGAGCAGAATTAAATAATGAATTACGCAAAGTCGCTTCAAATATGACGTTCGTTTACAGAAAGTGACGGTACAAGAATAAATCTACGCCGTGCTACATCCGTGCGTGACGTCACTGCAAAAGAGCCCCCCCCCCTAATTAATATTCATGCACGCGTGGAAATTTACACGAACGCACATGCAGCACCCCTCCACAATAACCATTAACGGGTGACGTCACTCCACATGGGGCAACCCCCCCCCTCATTAATAATCATGAAGGGTGACGTCACTCCACATACCGCACCCCTCCACAATAACCATTAACGGGTGACGTCACTCCACATGGGGCAACCCCCCCCCCTCATTAATAATCATGAAGGGTGACGTCACTCCACATACCGCACCCCTCCACAATAACCATTAACGGGTGACGTCACTCCACATGCCGCACCCCCCCCCTAATTAATAATCATGAACTCAACAATTTTTCTATTGAATTTTTCAGATTTACTGCAACATACACCCGTCCTTGGACGGGCAAAAGAAGCGAGTTTAGCAAGAGTCAACTCCTGTGTGCCGGTCTCCACTACTCGTGATCTGCAGGCAGAGCAGAGGCTTCAGTAACTCGTCGTAGACCAGGGGTGTCCAAACTTTTTGCAATAGAGGGCCACATTTGATAAAGTGAAGATGCCCGGGGGCCAATAGTTCCTTTTGACATTTTTTTAACCACAAAAGTTACGTGAAAATACACACTGTTATAAAACAACTTCATTGTCACAATTACCTTTATTTTTCAAATGACAATGTAACCAAATATAAGCCACTCAGGCAGACGTGAACAACTCTAACACGTAAACCCGTAAAAACAAAGTTTTTCACTATAAATCCTTTAATGCGTGGCAGCGAACTTAATATAAAGGATTTAAAGATATATTCGCCTGTGGAAGACGCAGGGATCGATCCCGCGACCTTTGGCATGGGAAGCGAGGGCGCTACCAACTGCGCTACTCCGCCACGGCCTGTGGAGGGGTTACGCTCTGGGCTTTTATACTGTGACGTTCAGCCAAAGCCAAGAATGAGTTCTTTTGAATATATGTAAAATATTTTTTTTTTGCCTAAAAAGTGTAAAATTTTGGGAATTTTTTTCCACGAACATTAATTGTCTGGCACAACGAGTCTGTGTGGAAAATGTCAGCTCGATTGGATCACGGGAAGTGGGTTAAAAAACGACCGAAAGATTTGCACGGTCGTAAGCAAGCAAGCAAGCGCGCAAGCAAGCACGCAAGCAAGCAAGCATGCGAACTTAATATAAAGGATTTAAAAACGCAATTCTGCCTTTCATTCAGTCAGATAACATTGAACAAACTGTATAGAATACCTTAAATTTCCATGAATTTTATGATGTATTTATTCTGACAGAGCTGGCGAGCCATAACTTACACATTATAAGACCGAAGCTGCGGGCCGGATGAAATCTGACCGCGGGCCGTGATTGGCCCGCGGGCCGGACTTTGGATATGCCTGTCGTAGACGATTCATGTGATGGGGGTGGAGGCGACGTGATGTCCTCCTCTCTCCAGCTCCCGTGAGCCGCAGAACGCCGCCGTGGCGAAATGTTAACTACCTCGCCTGGCACGCAGGAGGTCGTCCGATCCCGACCCTGACGCCTGCTGCTGGTTATTTGAAGTTGGCGCCTCTCTCCCTCGTGGTCGCGTGGATTTTTCTCCGGGTCCTCCGGTTTTTAAATCCTTTATATTAAGTTCGCTTGCTTGCTTGATTGCGTGCTTGCGTGCTTGCTTGCTTGCTTACGACCGTGCAAATCTTTCGGTCGTTTTTTAACCCACTTCCCGTGATCCAATCGAGCTGACATTTTGCACACAGACTCGTTGTGCGAGACAAATTAAATATTGAATTACCAATTGCTTAATACTGGCAGACAATCATCTGACCCATAGGTGGCAGCCATCTCAAGCCAGAGGACGAGAGGACTCTAGCCGCCACGCATATAAAGGATTTATAGTGAAAAACTTTGTTTTTACGGGTTATACTTGTTACCCTTTCATATTTAGAATTCGACATGGATTTTAGAGTATTTGGCTGCTATACATGTCCACGTAATAAGCCAGCCACTTCGTTGAGCTGTCATTTGTGGTCAGGTCGCTTTTGAAAAAATAAATAGCTCAGTGGGTCATCGGGGCCGTCCATAAATGACGTCACGCGATTTTGGACGATTTTTTACCCCCCTCCCTTCGTCACACGGCGTTACAAAGTCAGACCCCCCCTCAAATATGACGTCACAAAGCTCTGCCCCCCCCCCCAAAAAAAAACATGCTTCAAATCGCTTTAAACTATTGTCGTTGTAGTGCGTATTTAATGTGCCGCTGCACTCTGATGTTGTAGGAGAAAACATTTATTAAAAAGTCTATTTAATTAAGTAGAACGTGTTGTTTATATTTATTTAAAGTTGCGCATTTTGATGTGACGTCACATTTCTCAACCCCCCCCTCGTCACACATCGTCACAAATGTCTGACCCCCCCCCCCCCCAGGTGCGTGACGTCATTTATGGACGGCTACTTACACAGTAAAATTAAAGTTGTTATTTTTTAATCTTGTATTTTTGTTATTCTTGGTTCTTTCGGTAAAGTCACGTAGAAGGGAAATAATAAGATAATAAAAATATAAAACAATACAATTCTCACGACGTTTCGACTGCAACACAAGCAATCATCATCATTGCTTGTGTTGCAACACAAGCAATCATCATCAAGAATATGCATCCCTGCAGTCACGAAAGCTTTGAATCAAAATTAGTTTCTTGTTGTCGATTTTTGAGTTGGACTCGGGCCCAAACTTAACAGAGCGGTCCTCGCCTATCATCATCTGTCAGTTCACCAACATTGGTCCACGTGAACCACGTGGACCCGACACAGCTGATGAGACACTGAACGGACGCGTGACGTCACCCCGTTGCGTGCCGTCACTCATTCATCCTGTGCGTGCCGTCATTCAACCTGTGCGTGACGTCACTTCCCCCACGCTGCGTGATATCTTACCTTCCCCTGGACGATTGACGTCATTCCTTCCCCTGGATGAATGACGTCATTCCTTCCTCTGTACGAATGACGCCACTTCCCCGCCACGGTTACGTGACGTCACTTCCCCTCCCGCAAAATTTGAAACAACTTCCGCCTTCGTCTCCACTCGCGCTGTCGCCCGTGGCTCTTCCCGCCTTTCCTTCCCGCCCTCCTCCCGCAGCTCTCATCGCCTTCCCGCCACCTCCTCCCCCCACCCCATGGCGACGAGACGGAAAGCCAAGAGCGGCGGCGCTTCGGGCCCCGCGGAGTCGGGTGCGTCCCGGGGGTCTGCTCCGTGCGGCCGCCCTCACGTGCACCACGGCGGGTACACGCGCGTTTCACAAAGATGGAGATCACCCCCCTCCACTCCCCTCCCCTCCTCCGCGTAGCCTGTAACAGACTGCCGGTGCAAGTGCTGTTCGCGAGCGCTTCCGAAGGCCGAGGCGGTACACGACGGGGTGGTCAGAACCACGCCCGGCCGCCTTTGTCTCTCTCAGTGGCGACGTTTACTGCACACCGCATCGAGGGTACCTCGTTCGAGGCCGAGGCGACCTAGGGGAGGCCCGGGACATGTTCGGATATAATCGTCGGTCGGGGTTGACCGTGAGCGGGGATCGAACTCGGGTGGCCGGGTTCGTGGCGCTGCGCTAATCGCTGCACCACCGCTCCCTCCGAGCGTCTTGGGGACAAAGATTAACATCGCCCGGATAAAAAAAAACAATGCAGATACATTTTGATTTAAAGCTTTCGTGACTGCAGGGATTCCTCTTCTTGGTTCTTTCGGTAAAGTCACGTAGAAGGGAAATAATTAAATAATAATCATTAACTATAAAATTCTCACGACGTTTCGGCCACAACACAAGCAGCCGTCCTCAGGTGAAGAACAGGGCTGTCGGAAAAACAATTTTATTTGATTATGTTTTATTTTTATTATTTCCCTTCTACGTGACTTTACCGAATAAAGCAAGAAGATAAATGCAGATCAATTGTTGGCAGGGGCGCAACGCGTGTCAACAACAAGGACGTTCAGTTTGATGCTGATTGGTGGTGATGTTTCGTGTAAAAGTAATCGGTGGCCGAGACTAATTACAATATTTGGCAATTCAGAGCTGTCAAAAAACTATTTTAACCGTTCTGATTGCTCTAGGCTCGGCGTTGCTTGTATTAAGTAATACACCGTTTAACTTAATGCATATTCAGGTTATTTGTTGATTAACTGTGACTAATCCAACCGGTAATAGGTCCTGCATATTCTCGGTTTAACATAATCCATTGTAATTTGAATGATGTACATTCATAGCTGTCAACCCATACGGTTTACCCGAATGCTTGTTCAGTGTTTCAGGTCCACACTGCGTACAGCCGTTTCAATACGGGAAAAACAATTGTCTGTGTTTCTCCCTTGTGATGGGACTTCGTATGATTAACGTTGAGATTTATAAAGGCACGGGTTAACCAATATGGTCTGAATTTGTAATGAAGGTAGGCACTGATAAGGGGGTTGACAGGTATGTACATTGACCCCCCCCTGGTCTTCGCACACGATAGGCTCACTGATGACATCACCTTTTCTCTTTATTTAAAACCAAAACAGCAAGGATTCACAATTCTGGCAAATCGCCTGTTGAAACTGGTTGTAATCACCAGCGAAACGTCGTACTCAATGCAAATGTTGTGGGTTTACTCTCCAACACACCGGTGTGCTGAACGAGTAACTAGTTCAAGTTCATTTATTAGGTATAGCCCTGTGAGCCATTCGGCTCTTGAATCGGGTGCAACCTCAACAAATAAAAAAACCAAAACATGAACAAGAAAACATCTTAAAGTGAATATGTGACTGAGTGCAAACAGGAAATCAAAGAAAAGACAGCAAAATATTGCAGAAAAAACACCGTACACCAACTGCTGTGTGCAAAAATCCCAGTGGGATGCAAGTCAAACAACAACAACCATAAGACAACTTCGATTAAGGCCATCAGTCTTACTCCGTACTACAACAAACAAACATGGTCAAACCGGTTAACTTTTCGAAATAAAATTAATTGGCAGGTTGCGTTTACGGGACATACCTTACTAATTGGTTGTGTCGGATGGTGTTTGGGTTCAGGACGCATTTATATTTACGCGATCTAACCCCCAAAAAAAATTAACCTTTACTATTGGTGGTGTGGTTTTTGAATGGTGCGCGCGTCCCTCTGCTCCCCTAGTGGATATGTCCTCGTGCTCGGATATGGACGTGAGCCGCGAGACTCGAGCCGACAGCAAGAGAAGACTCCTCCGAGCCAAGGAGGTGAGGCCTGGCTCACGGTGGGACGCAGCGGTGGCTCGCGGGCCAACCCTGCCGATGAACTCACGAGGCCGCTGGGTTTTAAACCCCCTTCTTCCATTTGCAGATTTTGAAAGCGAATGATCGCGCGTCATTCATGTTGAGAGAGAGAAAATAATGGATGCAAGGGAAAATGGATGAAATGGCTCTGCAAGGCAAGAGGTGAAAAGAAAATTGATCAGTTGGTGGTTGGGGTGTGGGGGGGGAGGCATTCGTACGGGACCCTCCATATGATACGCTGAAGATCGTGATAGATGGACATCTTCTGTCTGTATATGATCTAGTGTAATTAATTATAGCAACCTAACGCGGCACCACATAGTATTCACGCACTCGGGTAGAGTGCGGCATCGAGGCGCGAGGAGGAACCACCGCTGAGTGGGAAGGCAACACCATGTGGTAAGCTGGTGCCAACAACTGCCCAAGCTCTGCAGCCCTGTATTATATTAACGTGTTATCAGCCAGTTAGTCCGTGTTTACATTTGGGAGGAAACCGGAGCACCCAGGGAAAACCTGTAGTGCAACGCGGCAACACCATCCCGTCTGGGTGGAAAACGTGGAGTCGACATTTTTACAAGACCAGCTTCTGGCAAGCTCGAGAATGGCACCTCGACGCCCACGGGAAAGGAGTCTCACAACATTTGTGTTATTCACCTCCCCTTGCCTCCACAGTGCCGATTACAATATGTATGTTGAACTTCTTTCACACTGTACGTAGCGAACTGTGCTAATCGGAAGTGCGGGGGAAGGACAACAAACTAAACACCAAGCCGTTCTTAATAAATTAGTTTTTAATCTAGATTTAACAGTGCATAGCTCCAGTGGACACCTGCATAGCCAGCACCACCGCCCGACTGGACATCAACCCTTGGTTCATCCTGTGTCACACTATAGTTTTGTGTCACTGCAGTAAAGTGTCACTACGATGGTGTGCCACTTGTGTGCATTGCAGGCAGAAGCAGCAGCTGTCCCATCTCCGGCCCCGAAGAAGTTTGCTCCCAGGAAGACGATGGTGAGCGGAGGTCGCGCAAAACTCGGGCCCCACTGATATCACTGAGAACAAAGCGTGTGTGAAAATCACTGCAATTGGGCCTTGGCCGTTTTATTAAAATGTACTTTTCCTTGTGTTTGCCCTGCAGGCCAGCGACCTCATCAAGGACTCAAAACCTCACAAGGTGAGCGCTGCGCGTCCACCCCTGCGTCTGTGACTATGGCAATGAGAATCCGTCTTGTTTGTCATTTTTCTACCCACAATTGTATCCCGATTTTGCTATTGATGTCCTAGCACGAGACAAATCCATTTCGAAATCTAATATAGCAATGCGAGTGTTCCTCTTGGGCAACGCCCCATGGCAGCACATATCACAGAGCTACCCCTTCGAGTGACCTCTGGTACATAATGAGTAGGAGGCATCCCTTACCCCTGCATATGAGAGCGAGGTTTGTTGTATGAAAAGCTAATCGATATTTAAATAAGAGTTGAAATGCATCCTAATTAAAATCAAATAGAATGTTATGCATTAATAGGTGACCAGGCTGAGACTATCAACTCGATACCTTTGAGGATCCAGGATCTCCGCAATGTGGGTTCAGTGCTGTGACCTCTGAGCCACCCAGCCACTCCTGCTTGGCTTGCCCTTGACAATCCCAGCCTGCAGCTGTGGTGCGAGCTGAAAGGTTCTGCCGCTGTGTCGTCCCGCAGACCTTGGACCCATACGACGGTGACTCGGAGAACACCTCGAGCCAATCCGACTGCCCTCTGTCGCCCAAGCGACGCAGCGTGCGGCTTGGCGCCATGGAGACCCGCGTCCTGTCGCCACTGAGCACCGGCGGGGCCAAGGCACCGGCGGCGACCACCCCGATGTCCCAGCGCGTGCGCCGCTCGTACACCCGCCTTCGCCCGGAGCCCGAGTCCCCGTCGCGCCGGGCCTCGCACACGTCTACCCCCACCGAGGGCTTCGTGTCCCAGCGGCCCTCCCTCTTCGGCTTCGAGAGCCTCCTGACCTCGGCGCCCCTGGAGGACGTGTCCCCCTTGCGGTTGGTGCCCCAGGAGACCTTGCAGCATCTCTCCGCCGCGCTGGACCAGACCTCGTTGGAGCAGGCCTCGCCCGGCAAGCGCAAGCAGTGTTTGCCAGGCATCGAGCTCGGCGACGATAAGGCACGGCGGAAACGGTGCAAGATCGTCAAAATTGGGGTGAGTGGCTCAGCACCGGCACCCGTCGGTGCGTGACGTCGCGCAGCGGCGCGCTGCTCACACGCGGCAGGCAGGCGCCACCCCCATCCCAACGCCCCACATGCACGCCACGTGACCACCGCGGCGCACTTGCAACACCCTCAACCCTCAAGCTTCAAATCTAGAACCCTCAACCTGCTCTAGACAAGAGCCGAGTGTGTGGCCATAGAATCGTTTAGGTCACCAGCTCAGAGTTAATAAATGTGGCCGTCCCAACAGACGCCTGAAGTTCGCCATCGTTGGGACTCGTCAGTACAGAACAGTCATATTCACGACTGCCCTGTCCCTCTGAGAGCCTCATACATGGAGAGGTCCCACCTCCACACTGTGGGGATGCCCATTGCCACTCACCGATTTGTTTCGAGCCCACACATTATTTTATGCTGTGATGGGTTTTCTAATTGTTTTCTAAACGAGTTGAATTTGATTTGTATCAAGTTGCTAACTTTGATTTAGGTTTTTTATTCAACTTAGGTGTGAGCTGAAACAATAATTGTTGGCGCGTCATTAAATGGTTGTACGACGCACGACAATTAATCTGCTTGGCTGTGTCGGGTGGTGGAGGGTTCCTCTCGACACCAACTTTTGCCAGATCATTACGTGGCCTCACCACAAATCAATTATGAATCGTAATATTGGAATACGCAAACCTGTATGTTAAGGTGAAACCTACGTATTGGGTGGATGTCCTATTATTGTGCTCTCAATGCCTGCTGTGGCATCGGGTGGCTGAATGGAAGTGGCGCACGGGCTCTGAGCTGCGATGTCTGGCCGCTGACTCCAGTCCTCGTGTGTTTCAGGTGCGGGAGTTTGAGAAGCTGGCGGCACAGATGAATGCCGAGTTCGATGAAGCAGAGAAGTTTGAACTCATTATGGAATAACTAACGATGTTGCACGCTTCAAAACCAAACTGCGTGCGCCTCGGCCTGTATGTATAAAGAATACTCTTCACCTCAACGTGTTGCCATTTTCTGGTATTTTGTTACGAACCTCCGGTTGCCTCTTTTGTATTTAAATTTTCTCAGCTCGCGTAGCTCCTTGGTAAAGCTGCTCAGCACCCTTGCTTGAACTGTGACGTAGTCGTCTGTAGCGTGTACCGTCCACGCGTTGGCGTATCGCCACCTGTCAATAAAACTCCCTTTTGACTCACGACGCATCGCTGCTGCTCTCTGCCGGGGTCTGGTTGCCATCACCTTCGCGGTCGTGATTCTGCACGCGGCTCAGCCGATGTCACGCGTGCCGTGCCAGTCACGCCAAGCCAGTGCACCGATCCCTTAAGGTTTTGTCTCTCAGAGACGCGCGGCTGTGTCGGATGGGTGGGGGGGGGGGGCGCGCGTCGTGGCGAGGGGGGGGGTCTCCTTCATTCCTGCGTGCCGGGCCCCGCGCCGCACCAACAGATGTCGGCGCTGGCACGCCGGCCCTCCACCACGCACCTCCACGTCTCCGTCCGCTAATTATATCCCGCGCACGCGAGCGCTCGCTTTAAAATTGTCTGCGCATTCTGTTGGCTTGTACTTGTCCATCTTCATTTGATAGCTCGGCTCACGGTTATTTGTGGTGTTTTTACATAGTGTTCCCTTATGAGGAGGTGCAGCCACCGTTGATTGTTCGCCGCGCCGTAATAATAGGCCGTGTAAATATAACCGCGAAAGAAAGTTGGCACGGCTTCGCCTCATTGTGTTAATTCCATCCGATTGAGCGAGTGGTGTCTTTCCAGGCGGCAATCAATCACGCCGATGATCGGCGCACTGTCAACGCCGACACGGCGGCGCGGGCCCCCCACGTTGGTGCCCCCCACCACAACACGCACAAAGCTGCACGTGCACACCTCCACACAGATATCACTTAAGGACGCTACAAATACAAAGATCCCCCGTAAAGCCTTCACAGACTCGGGGCAATAGCCGTTAGCGAGCACCTATGAAGGCCGGCACTGCACACGAGAGTGGGTGGGTGGCCAGAACACCATTGTTACCCTAGTGGCAATGCTTACGCATCACATGAGGTACTCATTTATGGCTGAGTCCACCTAGGGGAGGCCCAGGACCAGTTCAGATATTCGTCGCTGGTGTTGGACTAAGCACTGCGCCACCACACTACGCACGCACACACCCACCATCTCCCGTGCTCATACCTCTGGGTATGCACTGCTAGCAGGTACAAAGATATTAATCTGTAGAGGCTGCATAGGTTATTGGGGCAAGTGGTGTTTGGGGGAGCACCTATCAAGGCTGGAGGTACAACACGAGGTATTGGGTGGACAACGCAAATTATTTTGTTTACCCAGTGCTGATATTTACACATCACACGGAACTCGTATGAAGCCGAGTTGAATTTGGGGCAACCTGGCACCAGTTCAGATGTCACTCCAATAATTAATGTGTCATATGGTCACACACAGACACACTGCATGCGTATACTGGGACGTGCACACAATGCAGCGCGGACACGTACATACTGGCATGTACATAAGCTGAGACGCACACGCACCCTGGGTGCACACGCACAGCCCGCATACATGCACACAGTCTGCATACGTGCGCACTCACTGAGATACACATGCACACACTGCACATGCACACATTCTGCATACGTGCGCACTCACTGGGATACACACGCACACACTGCACATGCACACAGTCTGCACACGTGCGCACTCACTGGGATACACACACACACTGCACACACGGGCGCAGGCACCGACACACGCCCCGCACACGCACTGCGACGCGCGCGCCGTGACACGGAGATGCTTGTGCTCGCAGACGCCGCGAGAATTGCGAGCGGAGCGGGCCGCTCCCTTCTGGCGCCGCTCCAGATGTGGAGACGGGGGGCCTGGTGCTCGTCACGGGGCCGTCCGAGACGGCGGCTCGCGTTACCGCGCGAGCCGAGGTACCGCCGCTCGCCCCGCGTTCGCCGCCTCATTCACACCGCATATCTCGCGGACGCCGGCTCGGAGGGCGAGGGCGCGGAACGCTCGGTTAGTTTTTGTGTTGTGGAGCGTGACTAAACGCCGCGATGAACGGCTCCCTCCTGCATCGCTGCGCGTTTCACGGGGGCTGTTTTGGGCAGGTGGTGACGGCAGATTTGGCCGTGGACCCGGCGGCGAGAGGAATCTGCAGGAGACCCGCGTGCCCGTGCCACCTGTCGCTTCGCTAATCCGGGCGTGGCTAGGGGGGTGGGACGTCAGGGGGAGCAGGGTGATGGGGGGCTGCCCACGGCTCATTTGTGCGCTGCTGCCACGTTGGGTGCGACCCGCACGCTCTAGGAATTACTACTACGGTATTATTCAAGGTTATTATTACAGCTAATGTACTAATATGCTTGTTTACCCTGGGAAGCGTCGCTGGGTCTCAAGACACTTGTTCAGGAGGGTCCAGCCAAGTTTTTGCAGTACAGGCGATGGTTGCTACGTGTTAATTTTCCGTGTCATTTTTCAAATTTTGCACATTTGGACAGCGACGCAGGCACGTAATGGCGTCACTGGATCTTTGACGTCTCCTGGCGAAGCCGACGATGCGTGGTATGTTACGGTTAATACACAACAGTATTAACCAAGTTTGGCTGCCACATTCAAGCATGCAAACCCAGACCTGTTTACCCATATTCTTGTACAGGGAAATTTATTTTTCAGGTTCATACGGCGTACAGCCGTTTCAGTATGGGAAAAAAATATATATATTATAGTTTTTTCTCCCTTGTGACTGGACTTTGTAGGATGAACGTTGAGATTTATAAGGGCACGGGGTGACCAATAAAGTCTGAATTGGTCTGTAATAAGGTAGGCACTGATAAGGGGTGGACATTTGCCCCATGACTATGGTGTGGGCTGAGCTCCCAAGTTTAAAACCCATGGTTTCGTAAAAGTTGGGAGGTGAAAACATTCACCGATTTCACTCGGATCGAATCCCGATCGAGAAGTCATCGTGGCCGACGCCGCTGGTGCCACCACCGCACACCTCCCTACCGACACATCCTCCGCCAGATTCCGTAGCTGCCACACAGTCGACACGCAGTGACCTCCAACACCATCTGGACTTTGGTCTTCTCTTCTTCCCCTTGGCCGCCGGACTCGTGGAGACCACGCCAATGCCTATCTCGGCAATTGTCCGACCAACGTTCTCCGCACATTCCACCCGTGGCGGCGTTGAGAACGATTGACTACTTCTCTGCTCCCACACCTGTGTTCCCTGCCTTCGCCTACCAGCAATAACCAGGGTGGTGAAGTATGGTAAAAATAACCCCTACAACCCTCATCCAGAAGCGCGTTGACACAAGGTGGGCCCGTACGCCGCACCCTCGTTGCCGCGGGACGCGCCGTGCCGCGTTGGGAGCCGTTCGCGTGAATGCGCCGCAATGAGATTTTCCCCTCCGCTGCTCGTGTGTGACGAGGGCCCGCCCGTGTCCCTGTGTCCCCGTGCCCCCGGGGGGCCCAGGCAGGGAGACTCCGGGCCGAGCGCCGGGTCTCGTGTTTTCAAGTCTCGCGTTTGTTGTGAATTCCTGCAAGCGGGGGCTGTCGGCGTGGGGGCGGTGGAGGCCGCCGCACAGAGCGCCGGCATGGCCGCGTGGCGCTCCACCGCTGCACCACGCCTGATCTCCCAGCCGATACCGAGCCGTGTCGCGCAGGTGTGTGACAGCGCCGTGTGTAAGCGTTCCTTTGCTTGCGTGCGCGAGTGCGTGCGCATCTGTTTTGCGTGCACAATGTACGTGTTGTGCGTTGGCGTGTCTCGGTGTCGGGAGTGGTGGCGCAGTGGTTAGTGCACTGCGCTATAAACCGGGAATCCGAGTTCGATTCCAGCTCACCGTCATTGGCGGTGACAGATATCCAAACCGGTTCTAGTTTGACTCAACCTTAAAGGAGTACCTGATGCACTCTAAATGTTACGTCTGGGGAGACAGGTGGCCAAGCAACGTTTTGCCGCACCGCCCGCTCATAGCACTTGCCCCAACCTCCTGCAAAGGGTTATGGGGGATATTTGTCGATGAGTGCGCTCAGAGCTGCAGGGGGAATCATGATGGCGTGGGAACTGCCAGGGGCATCACGTGCCCCCCCTCATCGGCCCCTAATCACCTGCCCAGTGTAGTCATGGTGACGGTGCAGCATGGAGGTTCACGTCGATTTTGTGTAACGAGCAGAGAACTCAAGATAAAAGCAATAACAAAAACAAGTCCAATAATGACGACAATAGCAATAAGAGCAAAAATAACATTGTTCCAGAAAAAAATTCGAAACTGAACACAAAACATAAGCCAATATTACGTCAAATGTACTTCCTGTAACGAAAGTTGGCTCACATATGATATTTTACAAACTGTCAAGTTATGTTACAGAAACATTAGCATGGATTGCGGGTGGCTTTGTTATGATTGTGCATTAGCGTGATTATTTTGAAGTGGCGAGCAGTGTCGCAGAACTCCCACAGCTGCCCAGAAGAAGGAGGCCCAGGTGTCCTGGAGACGTTGACAGCCCAGGGGACCTGCGGCTGCGTTTGACGAGTCCGCGGGAGAGCGAGTGGAGGCGTGGATCTCGGATGCGTAACAAGGTGGAGCTCACAGCGGCGTGCTTACCGCTGAGCAGATGTTATCTCTCGGGCTATGTGTGCGCGCTAGCGCGCGTGGAGGGGCCCGCATTCGCCGAGGGTTGTTGTGGGGCCGGGTCTGCGTTACATCGCGCGTCTCTCCACGCTCGGCCACTGTAGCGGTCGCTGAGCCGTGACGCGAACAGTCGCACGCGGAGCCCCACGGCGTCCGTCTGCGGGCGGTGGGAATGTGCGCACCGCAAATTAAACATTGGCACGAGGCGCGATTACCAGATGTTTACGTAACGGAGAACGTGTTGATTGTGTAAAGCGTTAAAGAGCCCGCTGGTGCCGGGTGTGGTGGAGGGTCGTGTTTCGCGGTGGAGAGGACTGCGAAGATTTCACCCCGCGGGCGGCCGTGGTGACCGTGTGGCCAAGCAAGCGGCACGGCACTGCCAGGATGTGGTGGCGCGGGTGCCGGCGAAATATCTTCCTCTGCGTCGGTGCGATAATAATTCTGTGCACTTAGAAAAGGTGGCTTCGTACTCTCTACAGAACTCCTCTCGCAACGTGACGGTGATCCAGCTCCCTCGGCCAACCACGAGGCACTGGCGTGGGTGGTGCGGGCGCC